TGTGTGTTTCCTTCTCGCAATTTTGGATCCGGAGCTTACATCTCCCGAAAGCATAGCCTTCGAGACTCATGTCTAGCGCTCAACAGAAGTCCTCTGGGACATGTCTGTACATCGCTTATGTGTTTGTGATGTGAAGATTTGAGCCGAAGTAGTGAGCTTTAAATTTATCGCGCAAATTCTTTCGTTTTAATAATAAACATTTCAATTTTACATTTTCCATCTCTGTTTCCATGCTACTAGCGGATTTTTTAATGTGGATAAACGGTCAAAGAAAGGTCCACACATTCTTCTTTAAAGTTGTATGCCCGCGTTGGAAAGGTTTTCACCTATATATACATGCAATGCCTTCTATTTATAGCTACAGCCGAAAGTAAATAAACATAAAAAATTTGAAGACTGGTCAACTCCTAAAGAAACAATTCAGGACAGAATATGCTTTTAATAAAACATTACAACATTCTCCACCAGGCGGTGCAGTTTTCTTTGAAGTGGTTACAACCTAGACAAAGTTTTTTCGACATGACGCAACACTACGCCGGACCCTGTAAAAGGATTCTCAAAGAGCTCGCAGCAATTAATCCTCCCTATTACCGCCAGGATCGGCACGTAACGGCGAATGTCGTTTGCCATATCGACAACCTGCACTATACTTTCCAACAAGGCAGCTTAGCGAAATTCAGGCGAATAGAGCACGACACTTGAACGGTATATAACTGCACGTTGGCAATAAACTGAGCAGGGCACACACTGCAAAAGTAGGCCAGCCTTGAGCGATGCATTTTTACGACTCCCACACCCAACGTGGGCGGTGTATACATAGTGTGTACGCAACCACATCTGCTGGAGAGGTTGGGCTGAATCCGGAGAGATAAGGAGTCGCATTAGATTACAACGGTGTATAAGATCGTATAAACACGCTCCGATCTTAGATATTGCAAGCCCAGCCTTAAAGGGAAAGGTAAAGAAAAAAAAAATATGTAGTGGGACTGGTTTACGGAAAAAACAGGTGCCCTATTACCGTAGTCAGCCCTATCCAAGTCGTAAGGAGAAAAGTAGGGTACTTATGCTTCGCTTTTGTGACGCACAGTATATATATATTCAGTACTAAAAGCTCCAATTAATTTCTAAAGTAATTTGCATAGCAATATAGTGCGCTTCTGCTGTTTCATTTCATCAGTTAGCCACATGGTTCCACGCAAAGCAGGACGCTACTTCTGCTATTCAGCTGTCGTCTGGAAAGAAGGATGACACTTACTTTTTACTACTGTTTCATTCCGGACAGTATACGTGCCACTTCTGCTGTACTTCGACCCTATGTTGTACAACGGAAAGTCACTGCCCCTTCTGCTATACTGCTGTTATTCAGCCATTAGCTTAGCAGCACGCCACTTCTGCGACTCAGCCCAAATGTTGTCTGGAAAGTTGTATGACACTTTTTCCTTACTTACGATAGTATATATGAGCCACTTCGGCTGTATACTGCCATTGAGCCCTTAAGTCGTACATGGAAATCAGTGCGACACATACATACGCTACGTAGGAAGGTCAGCCCTGAATGTCGTCTGCAAATCGGTACGCCACTTATGATACACCCCAGTTTTATTCCTAATATTGCCATATATACCACTTATGCCCTACTTCTGCTCACATATGTGAACTTCTGCCTATACTTCAAATCTGAAGTCGTATGGAAAGCAGTGTATTATTAGGCTGTACTTCTGCTGGCCAGCCCGAAATGTCGTCTGTAAAGCGTTCAACTGCAACTTCTGCTTCACGCGCGTCGAATATGCAAGTCGGTGAGATTAAGAAGTCAGCTTTCAATCAGGATTCTGCGCAGTTATCGCGATTCACATCTCAAACGCCGCGCACGGCGCGTTCATTTATATAGGACGCTGCTGCTACAGCCACACTTGAAAAGAGAGAAAGAAAATATGCAATACGAGAGCGCGATAGCCTCCGTCCATAATGGCCTATAGGCAGCATAATCAACCCGTCTTGCTTACACTGCCGCCGGTACGGCGCGGTGGATGGCGGGACACGCGGGTTAAATCGCTCCTATTGCGTAATGCGCCGGCCACATCGTGACAAGGCCCCGCGCTGCGATATGCTAATGCCTTCATAGTTGAGCTTCCGCCCATTAAGAGTGTGCTTAACGTGTCTATCGAGAAAAAAAAAACAGCCGGTGTGCTCATGTCGCTGTAGGAAACAGCCCTTTCGTGTATAAGACACGAACGTAGACTTTTCTTTTCTGGGTCGCGGTACCGGCCAAGCTGTGAAATGCAGCCTTCGTCCAATCGCATGAAGCATGCACCATCGTGTGCTCACCATGCGGATCAACGAAACTCAAACAAGCAAACAAACAAAAGATAATTTGATATATTGCAAAGGACTGCTCAAACTCAAAACTGCAGTACAACACTGCAGGTGATGGGGGCACTGCGACTCGAGAACACCGCAGTACCAGCAGCCACGCGTTTCAAAAAGTACAGGCACCTATCATCACCATCACCACCACCATCATATCATAGGGAGCTGGAGTTAAAATTTCGAAGGTTCTTGTCTAACAGCGGTCCGAACGGGGCGGTCCAGCCACTCATTTTAGTGGGAGGGGAGGTCATCATTCTTGTGACTAGAAGTTACTATCATCACAGGAACCCCGTCACAGCACGATTAGTGTTAATTTGTGCTCACGGGTGTTCCACTCATTAGTCTAAATTGGCGATAGGAAGTGAACGACCAGGACTGATGAGAGGAGGGCGATCGCCACTACCACCAACCCTCTCTGGGCCCACCACTGGCAGACACTGAGGTGTCGTGACACCAAAGCGAACGTCAGATGGTGTACGGCAGAGGATCGTTATAGCGCGAGAACAGAACGTCGACAAAGAGACAAGAAGGACTCTTTGTCGTCGTTCTGTTCTCGCGCTATAACTATCGTCATGTCATACCAACTAGCCCAAGCTGCCACACTTCCAAGTCCGGAAGAGGTCGCAAGGAAGCGATTATCGACACAAGCTCGCCGTTGGTACAATGTCATTACTTGTTCCCTAGAGCAGACTCATCGGTTCAGCACATCTTCCGCGGGACGTGTCGCTGTTTCCGAACTACCGGGTTTCCTTTTCAGAGTGAACCTATACACAATACGAAACAGAAGAATTCGCTGTGATGAGTGTTCGTTACAAAGCTGCGCAGTGTGTACGCACGGCGTGGTTTTTTACACCGAAACAATACGAAAGTGTAGTGCGACGCTTGAACGAGCACCGCTGCAAACAAAAGCTGTAAACCCTCTCGCCTTCGAGAAGCCTGTTCTGTCTCGCTCGCGTTTTTCTTCCTTTCTTTTTTTTTCTTTGTTGTGGTTGCTTGTTCGTTGTTGCCCACACTCATAAGCCACCCCCGCCACTTTCGTCGACAGTCGTTTTCGAGGAAACACGTCAGGTCTGACATCATGTCACCTACACTAATTGACACCGGCTTTCAGTGTACGCTCTATGCAGATCGTGGAACAATGCTTGGAAAACGGAAGTGGTGTGTCTTCAAAGTAACTTGATGCTTCAGCGGCACAATAGACCGGGAACACCGCACAAAAAAGCCAGGTCGCTGGACGAAAGTAAGTTCGCGCTCCCCTTCCCGGTGGACAAGGGTCCATCGGGGTACCCCCCCCCCCTTCCCCCCTCGGTGACTTGGGGGAGCGACAGCCCCCTCGGACTCCCTCCCATACGCACACATCGCACACCTATGTCGCTGGCAGGGCACCTGGCTGGCATTGCACTCCTTGTGCTTGCTAAGTACGCCCACTGCCTTACCAGAACAGGAACTGGCCTCCCTGGTGCTGGAACTGGACAACGCCTCCCAAACGAATCTCGCAACCATACGCCCTGGCACCGACTTTGGCTAAAACCCCTGTAACTCCGGCAACTGCCGAAAACCCAACCATGCATGGCAGCTGTAGAGGAAGTTCGATGAGATAAAATGGAATCAGCTAACAGAGGATAAGCTAAACAATCATTGGAAAAGGTCTTTGCCCTGCAGTGGATTAGAACAGACTGACAGTGATGATAATTACTTGACCACATATCGCGTGTATACTGATATAGCCGGTGGTCGTGATATAGCCGGTGATATAGACGCTGCTAAAACTCGGGCGCCAGTAACACGGCAAACGTAAACCGGGAACGTAAAGAAGTATACGTACAAGCTGAAACTTCCTATTGGCGCCAACGAAGGATGGACGGTGCTTCGTATTAGCCGGCTGGCCAACTGGCGCGCTTTGCTACAGGGAGAACAACGTTCCATCTCATGTGCTATTGGAACAAACTGTTAGTTTAAGCGGCCGTTTTCATTTAAAGAAGGCCTTTCCGTTTCCTGTCCTAAAAGAGTCATTTCTGAAGCTAATTCGGCGTCGGGACTCCAGAACCATACCTATAACGATCAACAGAATGACTAGGATCTTTATGCCAATTAGTAATAGTATATATTCTTTTGAACAGTTGTGTATCAGTTTTTTTAACTCATGCTGACCGCGTGGGGTGCCTCACAAAAAAGAAAATAAAATGCTTGGGCAACTTCTCGAGCCAAAAACATCCGAACATCTACCGGCCTATCCAGCCAAGTTCCCTATTTCTGCGATCATCCCTTGCGTGTAATAAAAGTTTATCCAATAAAAATAAAAGTTTATCCAATCCAATCCCTTGCGTGAATGCTCACGACTACACTTACCAAGGAAATTATATTATTAGACAACAGTCGTGTGCGGCCGCCGTGTTTGAGGCCCTTGACACGGACTGTGCAGGAGACGATCTTCTTTTGTTTCGGTACCATAATTCCTCCATTGACGAGTTTGGTCGCGCGCCCTGTACTGAAGAAACCACTAGCTCTGACGAAGCATTGTTCCAACCCCTATTGCGGTCGCTAGGCGTTAAATCGTGTTCTGTAGAGACCTTAATTTGCGCGCACCGTAAGAGAAGCGAAAGACAGACGTCAAAACGTGATGACATGCGTACCTGCCATCCCAGTCGCAGCCGGAGTCGTTGCAGACGACACACTGTCCCACAGCGAGCAGAAGAACAACGCACAGCACCCACGAGTTTGGCACCCAGGGCCGCCACCCCGACATCAGTGACGGCCTCCCGGGGCTATTACACTCCATGTCGGCGCCGTGTCAGCACGGAGCCGTCGTTGATGTATCAAGCCGCCGCCGTGTCATGTCTCGCGTAGCACCAACGTCGGGACGTCAGTGCGCTATATCCGACGCCTTCTGTCTCCCCACAAGCAGACGACAACGTCAGCACAGAACTTTCCACGATAGCAGACGACGCCACAACAAACGACTCGGCCGATGACAAGGGAGCGAGCACTACACTAGCGCGCTACACCAAAACCACCAACGCGACTTCGAACCAAAGACCTTCCGCACCACGATCCAGCAGCGCGGAGGGTGTTCTGAGGAGAGAAGCAAGCGGTCGGTGGTTGCTCGGTGGGGATCGGGCAGACACCGTGAAACACGTCCGGGTTGTTGTTTCGCCCGCTCGTTTGGGGGCGGAGCTTGACGGCCCGGTTTGAGAAGTGAGTTTATCCTCCTCCCTCATTGGTTGGTGCGGGGGCGACTCTTCGAGGGAAGTGAGAAGGAGACGGGAGGATGCGGGGGGATAAAGAAATGCTTCGGGGGATTAACGCGCTTATAACAATACCCTGCAGAACAAGCTGTGTGTTGGTAGCGCCATCTAGTTGTAAAGCTAGCAAGTAATTTGTGATTTGAATCAAGGCCTCCAAGACAGCTACATGGAGCACACGCACCGCGCATTTTTCAAACGTTGTTCGCGGCACACCAAGCTTGTGATGTTCTACGCTCACCGTACATGATAATGCGCCGCATTTGGCCCGCATACGTCATTCGTTGTTCTATAGAACCTCAGATATCATTGATTTGTGCATCGCTTCAACATATGCATGTAGCGTAGTGCGCGATCGAGACATTTGTCATGTGTTCCCTCCGCGTGAAGGTATATCAACATTAACAACGGGGAAAGGCTGCGTCACGTTGCATTAGCAAGAAAACCGGCTTTCATGAAAGTTTCTAAACGCGTCAGAGGTGTGACAATGACGAAAACAAGCTTAAACGCGAATACGGAATGGGTAGGAGCCTTTCCTCAGGAATAAGCAAGCAAAATGTGAAAGTGATGTCTCGATAATTTGCCATCACTGTGATTCACGCATTTGCCAAACCGTGAGAGAACTGCGGAGCGCACGATGCACTCGACCAACATGCCGCCAGTAGAAATCTTCCTTCGGGACAGTCTGGATAAGATATCGCATGCGAATTACCACCAGGAAGAGCATGCTCGCTGATTCTGAGAACTGTGGTAGATTTGCTTTGCCGATTATCGCCTGTTGTACTTCGGCCGGAGTGTGTGCCTCCCATAAGACAAAGGCTATACTCCTTGAACTAGAAGAAACCGATAATCATGAACTATGAAAAAGCACTAGCGCTCAAATATGTCGAGAGTATAGATTGGTGCGACGCATACAAGCAAGACAAAAACACACACACAAAAAAACAAAGAAACATTTTCTAGTCTGGCTAGATAGTGTTATTGTTAACAATACTGAATGTTGGCCTAGATAGTGTTAGGCCAAGGAGGCTTTTGATGTGAGAAAGTATTTTTAAGCGAGCCTAAAGATAGAAAATCCTGATTTCGTATTGTGGGAATGGACGCCGCAGCTGAAGGCCCAAAGAAATTCGCTATTTGCAAAAATCTGCAAGACGGCTTTTCCACGTGATTTTTTTTTTCGACCTAGCACCAAGATGAGTCATAAAATCTTGTTCTCAGACTCCTTTTCTCGCTCGTTCCGTTTTTGCCGCTGCCAGTTCCATAACAGTGCGTACCCCAAACGAAAGAGTCCTCGTTAACAATGCGTAGGCTGAGGATCAAGAATGGGGCGCGACAGTCACAATAGCCATCTGAGTACATATTAACATATAGCACTTATGGAAAAAAGGAAAAAAAAAGGGCACTTGTGGTGTTCAAGTACCTTCCTCGAGCACAGCGAGAAAGAAAAGCACGCAGTCTGTCAACAAAAGTGCTTAACTGAAGAAAAAAAAGAATAAAAATTGTGCTGGGGGGCTGTCTTGCAGACCATTGCAATATGTCCATTTTTATTGCGTCTGCAGGGCACGTAGGAGTTGTATCCGACTATGTAGTGACCAACTCTGGCCTGGGCGCCAATCAATGCCGCCCGTTCTTTATAGACCACCGTTAGAGTGAACAATAGACATGCCTCTAGCACACCCTACCGCGGTGTTAGACACTCCACAGCCGTGTCTCCACGCCATCGCAAGTGGGCCGCCACGTTTCAACTCTTATTTCCATTACATGGTATCCGTAGGAATGTCACATTCCTACGGATACCATAACAGTTGTTCTAACGTTTGTGTGAGCTTGTCGCTTGCGTGAAAAGCTTGGTTACGGACGTAGAACCTCCGCTGCTGCAATGTAGGAAAGGAAACGTGGGAAAGGACAAACAATACAATCACTAGAAGCATCATTTGTGCGTGATAAAATAATTTCATACTACTTTGTTCTAATAAAATACAATGCTGAGATTATACTGGCCTCTAAAGAGCTGCTGCTGTACCGTGCTCTGTAGTACAATATAGCCGGAAAATACAAGCAGTTTTTGGGAAAATATAGGAAGCAGAGCATTTATTATATTAAGATTTTGTTGAAACGAAAGTCATATACAGGCACAAGGCAGCATTAAACTAAGTTTTTTTTTGCACACAAGCACATAGAATGTACCCATCAAGAATTCACATATGTTCATCTTAATTCTGGTCTCAGGCTCTCGTCGATGCTTTTAAATGTAAAGCATTTATTTGCGTTCTGTAAGCACTGTTGGCGTCTATGTGCATATCTATCTATCTATCTATCTATCTATCTATCTATCTATCTATCTATCTATCTATCTATCTATCTATCTATCTATCTATCTATCTATCTATCTATCTATCTATCTATCTATCTATCTATCTATCTATCTATCTACGTACGGGTGCCCTCGTCGTCACCCCCTTAACTTGGCGTGATGCAAAATTAGTGTGGGATGGTATAAGATGGTATGACGAATTTAATGGGCTGGTCAACACATGAATAATGTCACAATCACGTCGTCTACGTAGTCAAACGCTTCCCGCCAGACAGTGGCACATACCCGCGGGCGGGTATGTGCCACTGTCTGTACCCAGGATCAACGGGAAGATAGAGGGGCAATTTTAACACGTGAGCGTTAAGAAAAACCTGACACCGGCCAGGTTGACCCGATGAATGCAAATAATTAATGTCAAGGTCCCAACAGGAATCCAACTCAAGCATTCTGCGTGGCAATCAAGCATTCTACCATAGAGCCATTGCCAGGCCTCGGAACTGACGTTCGAAAAGACCCTATAAATACATGTTCGTGAAACGTCAGTTGTGGTTGCAGTGTTAATTGGCTATCTGGTTTCGTAAAGCTTGCATATGCACTTTTTTGATACAGCCGTCATTTCGGGTTAACGTAACTTTCAGTTGGGCGCCGTGCGCTGGAGTTGATTTATGTATATGTATGTGTCCAAAACTATACCATCCTCGCGAGCACCAGCACTTCATATCGGCTTATCGCTTCTGGTGTTCCCGATACTCATTTTCTTGTTGGCATCGTTGCGCAAGTGGAAACTGGTTATACAAACGTCGGCAATTCTTCAACATATATCTGTGCGTGCAACATATATACATTCATTCAGCGTCATTTCACGACATTTCGCTCAATAAAAAAAATACAACACGGTCACCTCCCCTCCGCATGCTTCGCATAACGTCGATTCTCAAGGTACGTTGAATCTGCCGAATTTTTCACTTTCACTTTATTTCCTTAAAGACCCCGAGTGGGGGAATTACATAAGGGGTGGGTGTACAGTAAGGATAGATGATACATGACCATTCAGGATGAGAGGTGCACTTTTACAGCATCGATGAAAGCATCTGGGTTGGTGGTGTCAACGACGGCGTAGGGAAGGCCGTTCCAGTCTACAATGGTGCGTGGGAAAAAAGAAGACGAGTAGGTGAGAGTACGGGCTTGAGGACGAGCAACACTTAAGCAATGGCCTGTACAAATACTTAAAAAATTGATACCTGAAAAGATCTTATTGTCTCGCGAATTCACCGCTGCAAAAAAAAAAAAAGAATCCGTTCAGTGCGAGCGGAGTTGCAAATATTTGTTGCGCACTGCAATTGCTTTCCCCTTTTCGTCTCGACGAAACCACTGGTAGCTAAGCACAGAGGGATGGCAGGGGCAAAGAACATACGTCACGCGCACCTCAAGAGTCAAGACCTTGAGCATTTTAGGGGCAAAGCTCCTCTCGCTCGGAGTAAGTCCCTTGTCGCGCCGTGCCCAGTAGTTCTCAAGGCAAGCGGTTTTGGCGCGCTTTTCTCATCGCCGGGACCACTCGAGAGAGTTCACGCTGGCGCTGCCCAACGTTCGCTTCCTCAACACCCTTGTGAAAGAGGTTGAGCACCATTCCGTACTGACCGTAGCGGACGTGCTCTGCTTCACGAAGACGTAAGACGCTCGAAACATGCACACCAAAGGCTGCGACGCCGTCGTGTGCACCGATGAAGCAGAGCGTCCAAAGACCACCAACTACCTCTGACCAACCAGCACGACATACTCTACTCCTGGCTTGTCCAGGTAGCCCCTCTCCAGCGCCCACATTCTAGTTCATACATTCTGCCGTTGGGGCCATAACCTACGAGCGGTATGGCGCTAGTCAGCACCTGTTCGCTGACGTCACCTTCACTATTTGTGGTCAAATTTCGACCAAAAAAGCACACATAGTGCGTATTTATTGTGCACAATTTAAAGTTATTTAGAAATAAATATACCAAAAATCATTCAAATTTTTTTTCAATCGAATGGACGTGACGACACATTGGCTGTCCTCCACCATGTAAGTCTACGGGTTCCCACGTTTGTCAACCAGTGTGCTATAAATACGCACTGAATAAGCGCACTGAATAGCTTACTTGACCGTAATATAAGTGAAGAAATAGTCAACATATATGCCGGCAGTTCACCACAGTATGTAGGCATTCTTATTCCAGCGCCGTCAAAACAACTGTAAAGTAGCAGACGATGGATGGATGGATGCTATGAGCGTCCCCTTTATAACGGGGTGGTGACAAGTATGCCACCAGGCTCGACAAAAAAAAAAAAACCTTTTTTCTTTTTTTTATGTTGGCCTAATGCCTCTACTTCGATAAATCTCTAATTTTCTGCCACCAATACTCTAACCGTCTCTTACTTATTTCAATCGCGGGTGTGTTCAGCTTTCCATTGTTGTCCCTAAAACCCAAGGCTTCCTGTAGGCTCGTGCCCAAACGTACACCTGGGTGGATATCTCCACATTCAATCAGAACATGCTCCGCCGTTTCCTTATCTTTCCCGCAGCATGTGCATTGTTCTTCTTCTTTACTGAATCTTGCTTTATAACTACGCGTTCTAAGGCAACCCGATCTCGCTTCAAACAGTAAAGCGCTTCCCCTTGAATTATCGTAAAATGCCTCCCTCCTTATTTCATTTTTGCCCTTTCGGTAGTTACTCAAAGCCGGTTTTTTCTCCATAGCTGCCATCCAGTAAATCCTCTCCGCCTCCCTGACTTTTCCCTTAACGCTCTTTGTTGACATATGGCTCACAATACCAGCCGTATATTTACTAGTGAGTCTTCTAGTTCTTTCTCTCCACTGTGTGTCCACGCTCTTCCTATACAAATAACGGAACACCTTCTCTGCCCATCTACTCTCCTTCATATTTCTTAGCCTTTCTTCGAACCTTATTTTGCTCTGCGCTTCCCTCGCCTCAAAACCTGCCCACCCCATGTCGCCCTTCACAGCCTCGTTTGTCGTCTTCCCGTGAGCACCCAACGCGAGGCGTCCCACAGTCCTTTGATTTACATCCATTCCCGCTTGCACCTCTGCCCTCATGCACACCACTGAGTTCCCAAAAGTAAGCCCTGGAACCATTACACCCTTCCACAGACCTCGAAGCACCTCATACCTATTGTATCCCCACAACGCTCTGTGCTTCATTATTGCCGCATTCCTCTTTCCTTTTGCTGCCGAGGCTTTTTCCTGTACCTCCGACGAACAGGTTATGGGTAGCGCCACTAATGGTGAGCGGTTCAACGAGAGCGGGGACACGCGTTCCCACGGGAACCCTGCTATCTGAGCAGGTCAAGTGTACAGTAGGTCATGCCAACCAGAGCCACAACGGGGAGCGTACTGCCGTGAAGCTACAATAGGATTGTCGTCATTGCCTTTTATACTCGCGCCGAACCTACATCCAAGCCAGGGAGACGCCATTATCGAAAAGACAATGCATCGGTTCAGAACCAATTTCAAGCACGGTCGATTCGCGCTCGGCAGAGACTTCAACGTGTACATGGTGACGGTTGACGACTGCTGGCTAGTATCACACATATGATGTCCCGTTATGGCACTTCCTCCGTGCGTTGTGGTCTCTGGTGCAGCTCGTACGACAAAAAGCCTCCCACCACCATCAGAGGGACCTGTGTCGACATTGCCTTCTGGAATTTTTAACTACAACGTACCCCTCATCGAAGATCTTCTCGCCTGCAGTGGTAACGCACTTCATCGACCACGAAATCGTAATCTTCAAAGGAAAACGCGCCACAGCTTAGTAATCAGTAATGTAATCCTTGTATATAATTTCATCAATATGTAAATTTTTAAATCTTGCGTCAAGTTTTTATATGATGTTTCACGGTTTTACCGTTAGGCATCGCAGCTTCAGCCCACTCACTATCCTCAATTCACGAAGACGGCGACATTTTTCTTCAATGTTCTGCCACAGAACACCTATACAGTTCTGCTTTTCCATAGAGTTAATATATGCTTTTCAGTCACGGAGGAAGGAAAGGAGAAAGGACCTTTCCTTTCTCCGTGTTTTCAGTCATGTTGTCAGTGCGATTGCGCGCGCACTCGTGGACAAGTCGCGGCCTCCCGCGGCGGCCCCAGCAACGACCGAGCGCGCCATGCTCAAATCTGCGCATATATGACCGATACTTAGCACTTAAAGAAGGGTGGAAACTGCAATGCAGATACGTCACTGGCACCGCGCATGCTCAGATTAGTCGCTCGTGCGAATGCGCACGCGACGCTCCGTCGTTCTAGACATGAGAGTTGAGCCACGTGCTTGCCTAAGGGTATATTCGGGTCATCGATTGCCTAAACATGTGTCGAGTTTTTGGACACCGATTCAATCAACTTCCACATTGTTCTTATTTTTTTAAGGTTTTCTAGAAGTTGTTTCAAGTGCTCATTCAGTCGTACATAATCGGTTATTTTACCATAATGATGCACAATTTCACCATATCACACTAACTATTTGTGTGCAGTACAGAACATGACATTGTCAAGTATGTAGCAACTAAGAATTGTTGTAAGACCTACAGACAGTATACTCGGCGATGTGCAACCATTAAAGCATTTAAAACGAAAGTTGAGGACAACTCATTTGGTGCGTGCTTTTGCTTCTACACTGTGCAGCAAAGCTTCAGCTTACAGACCTTTTGGCATATGGTTTAATGTGGCAGTGCGAGGCAGCACCCCAGAATCGTACTTGTGAACTGTAAACTTAGTCAAATAGTTGTAGTCTCACTTCTACACTGGTGCTCGGTACGTCATAGCCACCTACAGAAGACAATGGCGTAATGTGAAGCAGGTCCTATAGTCTTATACGAGCCCAGACTCGCAGCTCCAACACGAACAAAGATCATTATGGCTTTTGACTAAGAAACAGATTGCATTACGGCAGGACTCCCTTTTTCAAGCAAGCTCCTGTTGGAACACCCCTGGCTTCAGAAACGAGTTCATATCATCGTGCTTAAGTAAACACTGAGCACATCCAACATTTTACTCTGTAACGAGTCCTTGTCCAGACTGTTGCTTTGTAGAGAGACTGCGCGAGAACTGCTCTGTAGGGCGTCGCTGAAGCATGGAGAGCCCTTTGACTAAGTGTGGTGGTGCTGCCTTTTACTTTTGAAGAATCACGGTGGTGTGCAATGTGAAGTTCTATGCTGCAGCAATACATCCAAGAACAAGGCAGCAAGGATTGAGCCAGCCGTCTGATTTTATGGTTTTATAAGACATCCCCGAGTCCGTGAGAAGGGACTTGCCAAGTGCGCTTTGTCAACACTAACGTATTAATTCACATTGTCCTGGAACTGAAAGAAGCCCTCTAGGCTGCTCTTTGTTGTTGCTTCCAGCGACCAATAACTTGCGCAGCATTGCAAAAAACTGCCAAGATTGAGTACAAAGCAGAATTTTACGAACCGTACAAAGTCACAACCACATGTTGTTAGACAAACGAAGAGCAATTGGTTAAATAGAGTACATACAAGACAAAAGAATCGCCACAGACAACCATGTACAGAACTTGTGGATGTTTTAATAAATGATATGACAGGTGCGTGTGCCAACTTCCTGTGTGAAGCAAAAAAGAGTGCACGCTCTCTGCAGTTTGCCGTGGAATACCACCCCTTCCCCACATTGGCCCAATACATCCATAGTTGACAGACTAGAACATGCCACAGGCTGGGATGCAAGCATAGGCACACATACACACATACATAGCACAAACATATTTCACTAAAATGTAGGACTTCTAGCTTGTGCTGCACAAAGGTATATAGTTTTAAGCACCATAGAGACTAGAGATTAAAAAAATTAAGGGCTTAATCCTGAAAAAAAAAAACAAAAAAAAAATGCTCAAAGCCGCTAGTAGATTCAACATGTGGAAGAAGAGGGAACACGAGAGATTGAGCCGTCTTAAAGTGACCTTGTCCCATACAGCAGCTTCCGAAAAATAATGCAGATTGCAGAGAAAATGCATGTTGAGCTATTGAATGTAGTCTTATGTACATGTTATCGAATTAAGAAGCCTTCTAATAAGGTACACCACACCTATGTGCATTCTGTGTGGGCACAACTGCCAGGATCGCACAGGAGTTCCAGATTTTGTGGAGCTCAGCTTTCTTGCCCGGAAGTTTTTTTTCAAAAAATTTAACTGAAGTTCCCCACTATTATGTAAAGGGTTGACATCAATGGTTTACGACTTTGCAATCTGAGAAACGCCAAGAACCAGCATTTCCACAGCCCGTTATTTCCCATTTCCATCTCGTACTGCCATACCGTGCGAGCGATACAGTACTTTAACGGCTACGCTAGCTGTGGCCACACTCTCGGTCTGCATGCTTTTGACTACAACATATGCTGCACCTTCTGGAGTGCAAGAAACTTTAAACCTCAAGGAAAAAAAAGAAAAAAAGGGAAGCTTCTGTTCATGGAAGCTGTAATTATACAAAAACAAGTTGCTTGACAGAAAGAATGCAAGGAAATTCAAATTCCACAAGTTACAACCAAGCTCTGACGCTACGACTGCCACAAACATAAGCGAAAGCACACCAGAAAATTCCTCCGCAAGTTTTTACAGAGTGCCCCAAAACAAAAAAAGCAGCTTCACGAGCCGCGAGCAACGTTGAAAAATAGTTGCAGTAAAAAAAAAAAGGAATGTGTTCAATACAAAGCCGCATATGGCGCCAACAACCTCACAAGCTTTGGACGGAACAACGTGGCACTTCTTTCCAGAAAACCTGCAAAAACGATTGGTAGAGAGATCGGGGATTATCTCAATTTACAGTTCACTTGCTCCAACTATCTCGCTCCAACAACCAGGGTACAGACGAGTTTGCAGTTGACAATACTCTCAGCTTCACCTACCGATAACTACAGTCGGTGGCGCCAAGGGTGTGCACGCGCGTGGCGGTTCTTACAGTGAACATGGCTTGGCGTTACCACATGCTAGGAAGCACCAGTCCATTCAGCGGAAAATCGAAATTGAGGCGGCACACATGCAAAGAGACCCAAAGGAGGCACTTTGCATCATCCGCTGCAGTACCGCAGTCTGCCACTCATGCTCTGCTGTACAACAGCTAGAGCGCTGCGCTCCTGCACACCTGCGTCACTGCGTTTCGATGTGCGGCCGTGCCGAATGTACTGAAACTCACCTTAGCATTGCCATAGTGAGCCATGCCCACAATAAAATTGGACGAGCGTGGACATGTGTGAAGGTCATGAGGGTCTTGTAAATCTTGCGCGGAACATGAGCTGCCGTTTTCTTACAAGATTGTGCGTGCTTGCCAATTTGTAAACCGTAAACTGTTTGTGCATCAGTGATTGACCGCACAGCGGAACGAAAGTACGTGCAAAAACAGGCCTTGCGTAGCACTTAGTTTGAATCGGTTAATATTTTTTTCCTCTCTGTGATAAACAGAACTAAAGATTCATTTTCTTCATAACCTAGTGCCCGTGTTTCTTCATCAAACGTTCACGATCTCCTTGCCAGCGCCTGCATGTTGCTGTAATGCATCCAAGGTGTGCATAGCCCTCCCTCGTCAGAGATGCGGAGGCTACATCAGAGAGAAAAATGCAGCTCGAACGTTTGGTTTGGGATCTCTAACACATCCTACACGCCCACAACGATTGCAGAGGAGAAGCCTGGATTTTTCGGAGTCGGCCTCTTGGGCTGTTGTGCACTTAAAGATCAAATGACCAGCAGCCCCGACTGAATGACTACACATAATGCGGCTCGTAAACCTTTGACAAAGGCTGCACGTGGGATCAGAGCCCCAGAGAAACGGTAAACATGGAACAAGCGGGAGAATACATTGTGATTATATATTAAATATGAATACACATCTTTCTCTACTGACATCAATTTTTCAGCAAATTATCTAAATGAAAACAATATAGTGTCTTAAAAAGGTTGCAAAGGAACAAAGGAAACGCACCTTTCTAAGCATGTGCAAACATAAACTAGACTACAACAACAGACTGACTGAGAAGGGTGTATATATGCTTTAAATGAAGATTGCACCATCGAGATATATTAAGCTCAGGTGTTGTCGCATTGACAATGCATCACACCATGCTGATTTGGTTCTGGCACACTTGAAAACTACTAGCAATCTTAACATGCAGCCCGACACCTGTGACAAGCCACGAGGACTTAACGTACATTCCACTGAAGCACGCCAAACCAAAGAAATCCCACTTGCTACCACTAGTAAGAAACATGTAGTTAACACCTAAGTGACAAATGGGGTATGCTACACGAGACCAAACACCAAGTAAAAGCTCCGCAGTTATTTTTCGCCATCGACATTTAACCCTCCCAGTGAGAAGTGTGTGCATTAACGACAGAGCAACCAGGTTTCGATGTGCGATAGAAAAAGTACAACTTGGAGAGCCCCACATTTTTTTTTTTTCTGAGGAAACTACAATTCATTCATAGCAGAAAGCGACATAGGAGGAGATAGGAAGTATGGTGCACAGAATTTGGGGTTACAAAAATGAAAACCACACTTAGGCGCCATAAAACACCAGTGGCAACATTACGAAACAGACAAACACCATTAAAGAATCTCAGCATCTTTTTTTTTTCTTGGCTTGCAAAGAGTATTTCACCAGACAATGAAAATACACCCACCAAATGCAACCAAACCGACGCCTCGTGAGCAAAAGTTACAAGGTTAGCTGAAAATGCGCCACATACTGCATGTACAATAGGGAGTCTGTGGTGCAGGAAGCTGCATCGCAGGTTGCACGGAAGTACACACGACACCTGACACACGAATTACAAAAACGGCACCGAGAAAAAAAAATTAACGGCGAGGTACATGTTAAAACGATGTATGATTTCGCAGAAATCTTCCACAGCGGAGCCACCGCCAACAAGTTCCCCTTGTCGCGGCTTTAACCTGAGATACCTGCAACTGAATGCAACATGCGCATTCGCCGCTGTGGAAAACTGCGACACTTTTCTTTCGGAGAAGAGTTTATGGAAGACGCACTGAACTTGCTCCCTCCTCGCAACCTTTTGTAAAAACCTAGTGGTAAAAACCTTTCAGCGTGCAAACTTCATTCCTTCCCGCGTAACACTACTTCAAACAATCACCTTGTACTGCTTCTCTTGCCACTATCGTGTCCAGTGCAGTCGTGTGGGACCTGTAGACCCAAGCTCATATTAAAGCTTCGCGGAAGGCTTCTAGCAACCTTCCAAGGTGAACGCAAAGCTCTTTAAAAGGTTGTGAAAGACTTTGTACGGAAAGGACTGGCTACCCACACATGCACTCAAGTTGATTTCTCAAGCCCTACACATTAGGCCAAATGAGAATTTCAATGTTAGGCCTAACGAACTCTAAGCCTAACAAAACCTTCGCATTAGGCATAAAAAGACAGCCTCAATCAAGCCCAACAAATGCAACATTATGGTCGCAATGTTCAACGAAAAAGGAACTATGAGCGTCATCAGCTGCAATTGCTGCGGATTGTCTTCAAAAGGACAACTTGAACATACTTGAAAATAAAAGTGCTTCTAATATATTTGCACACTTAACTAGGGTGCACGTCTGGAACATTAACATTTTGAACATGAAGTATGAACCGTACAAAAAAAAATCTACACAACATGTATTAACACAATGAATCGCTTGAACACAACATATACACTTTTTCACCCAAGAAGCCGCAGTTGTTTCAATGCATATAAACATTTAGGAAACAGAATAGGGTGATCAAAACGCTAGCAATGCTAAAGTGCAGAAAGGTTACGTTAATAAAAATACACTAATCATACAATGAAAACGTGCAACTTGTTATCACTCCTGCAGCTATAGTAAAGTTGTGCGTTGAAAATGACCAAATACAACAGAACAGTGATTGCAGATCTGTGTTAATAGATTTCATGGAAAAAATAAAAAGTCAGTTAATATAAAGGAACATTGCAAAGAGACGAAAAAAAAAGAAATGTACATAGAACACCAGTATATAATATCACTAGTTAGTGGAAAAAAAGGAAAAAGTTCGTAATCTCTGAGCGCATGTGGGCGTCCTCTCCAAAACTGTGCAAGGACACTGTGTCGTTGCGGCAGACGACAAAAAGTTGCAATCGTCTGCCACCGTTCTCACTTTTCTTTTTTTTTGATGGGGACGGGCCGTGCACAAAAATGCACCTCATGATTCTTTGATGTCGCTGTACATAAACGGCACTACGAAGTCGTCCATGTTGGGCATGACAAAAATCCTCTGTTGAGGAAAGGAAGACAAGAAAAAATAAGTATGTTAATGTACGAACAATAGACTCAAACCTCAATATAATTAATTCAGCTTTAACAAATTACCGGTTATAACAAAATCAGTAGAGAATAGCTTTGTCATAGATACAGTGTTACGAATAATAGTTTATAATAAATTTTTGGATATAACGACGTATTTTTGTAGCAGATGCGACTGTTACGAGGTTTGAGTTACCAGCAAAATGTAACACTGTCGCAGTCACAGTCACCCAAGTCAAAAGAGTAATTCTGTTAGAGCTAGATTTTCGAAAAGTAACATCGTTACTTTTGCGTTACCATTTAAAGTAAGTTATTCTTGACATAAAAAATGGTAGAATTCAATAAAAGCATGTGAAGAGCGGTGGGGAGCGTCTAATGAGTGAATATGGTGCTCATGGTCTCTATTCCTTATATTCTTCAAGTTGTGTCAACAAACACCGTTCAGAAAGCTTTGCTTCCGATGGGCGTAGAGACCCTTTTTAGCGCCCCTGCCACATGGGCAAGTTTACTAAGAACGGGATTAGCTGAACATGTCATTTCACCTGCTTATTGTTACATAATGAAAATACCATTTTACAAATTGATGACCGTGATCTCAGTCCACCTGAACCATTTTTTATCACTAAAAGCTGCTGCTAGATTATAAACACAGCCCTTTTACATAACCTGCCACAGCTTAACGACGGAAACGAAGTCAACTGAAAAGCCAATCGAAAACAAACATGGCCAATGATACGACGGGCCGTGGTTCATGGATGGTGCGCATGGTTACAGTCAACTGAAGCGGGGCGAGCACACTAGCACTCTAGCTGTAGAAGTGAGGCGGCGGCAGCTAATTTGTGTAATCAGCATCTTGATCATCCAGGCATGACCAATCAGACAACACTTATGATAGAGGCAACAACGACAACAGAGCGCAAATAAACAAGACCGGCGTCCAGCTGCTGTGGTTGAGTAGCCTACTTCGTGAAACATCCAACCGTGATACTATGTCATGAAACCTGTCTTAAGTTAGTCTAGTAAAAAAGTAAAATGCTTATAAATTACAGAAGCTAATAGTATAATAATAGTAATATAGTATCTAAGGCTTTGCATCCCAAAACCATGATATTATTATGGGAAATGCTGTGGTGGAGGGCTCCGGAAACTTCAATCATCTGACGTTCCTTAACATGCCCCAACATCACGCAGTGCATTTTGACTCCGCCTTGATGCAACTCCCGCAACCTGGATCGAACCCACGACTTCCGCATCAGCAGCCGAGCACAGTTTCGAGAACTTAATAAGAGCAGTTCCTGTAAGGACATAAACTTTCATTTTCTTCAAATGGTATTAGTTTCCCCATGTGAAAGCAAATAAGTGATATCACAAAGAAACGAAATTCATTGTAATTGACATTACATTTGCCGCGCAATAGAGGTTAAAGTTCCTCCATAACTTCGCACACATGCTCTCAAAACCCCGACAACCACCTATCTGCGTATAATTCGTTCTTACGAAACTTGAACAATGCTGAACAGGGCATAGCTACGAGGAAAGGTGGAGGGGCGGGACTTCTGAAAATGTGCTTCATTCACTACAACGCATCGGCTACTGCAAGGATGTGCGACTAATGAATTGACCGTTGTCTGCTCTGCTTTTCTTTTTTTCTTTCGTTCTCAGTGTATCTAAGCATGCCACCCCCATAGGGTCGAAAAGACTAATCTTGTCAAGTTATAGTATATCTTTGACAATTAGTTACATAGAAGTTTTGGCACTTCTGGCTTTCAGCAGTTTCCCGCTGCTGTTCTCTAGCCACCTGTCAAACACAATTAGCTCGGAGCCTTGGACGAAGGAATGCTCCACCCGAACACTAATCACATATTCAGAAATTCTCCTTGACTTGACTTAAAACCACCTTCAATGCAGCTCGTTTGAAATGCGTCTGTACATTTGTACTGCCTTGGCATCGCCTGAAGACAGCGCGTTCGAAACGCGTTTGTGCGGCGTTGAAGTCAGTGGCAAGTCAAGTTCAAGCAAAGCAGAGTTTTTGAATGCGGGGGTAAGAACAGAGCTAGAAGCTCAAGTGACAAAAAGCGCATAGGTTCGCACACCTCCAAAGAAAAAGGTAGGTGAACTTGGCAAGCTCTTCAGTAGCAACATGATGGATTTACGACACACAAATGAAGTAAACTCTGAACACGGTCTTCTACATGAAAGATACTCATCTAAGAGACTTCTCCTAGACTGCAAGAGTATCCTTTTTTTTTTTGAAAGATGAAAGGTGGAGAGGATATGATAAACAAGAAAGTTAGATAAAAAGAGCATTTAACTTCAGCCTTTAACAAGAGTTTTCATCGGATATTAAAAAAAAGTAGCTGTAACTATACTTTGCATTAGTTACTGAGTAAAAAAGTAACAGTGTTACAGTTACAAGTTACCAAAAAGTAACTAGTTACCAGTAATGCATTACTAGTCACTAGTTAGTGCCTAAGACTGCATAGTACAAATGACAACAATGTCATACAAACAACAATTTATACGTCGTGAAATATATATTGTGATGTATACACTGTATACACACCTACAGGCTCCGCCGTGCAGATGCACGTCATGAACACTCTGCGGTGCATGTTCCGATATCTTCCAAAGTAATCTGACAATTTTGAAACGTCGCATGACATGTAAATCAGCCGATTTACTGCATGATGTATACGTTGTGTATACATTTTGTCATTTATGGTCTTCACCTTCGTCATGGTTTCGAGTTACGCCATGCATATCCAGACATATACCAAGCTAATGAAACAGCCCCAAAGGCTTCATGGTGCACAAATATTGAGTAATTTATGCCATTCACATCGTAACATGTCACACGGTTTCCATCTTTGTAATGCATGTATGTAGCACTATTCACATTTGGATACACAGCAGACTCAATATACACAACCTCAACGGACAAAGAAAAAGGCTTCAACTAACAGGCTGTCCATTCACAGAGATGACCATGGGTGCGGAGTTCAAGTAAGAAACTGATCATATTTTAGGTAGCTCTGTGTAAACAGCAATTACGTTTCAAGAGATTTCAAATGACAAAGTCTTCTGCGAATACCCAACCAACATCACAGTGAACTGCGACTGCATGCATAAAAAAAGAAACACTAAAAGTGGCTTTGGTTCGCCTTCAATAATAGGCAGTATTGCAATACATTAAGTGCATTGAATTGTGGCTGTCGCTATTTGGACAGAGTCACCGCTTGACTCGCATCCCTAGAGTCTCGTCACGATGCTGTTTCACGGAGGGCCTTCGGTGCTCTCACTACCTCACCAGTGTTTTTACTGCCAGAGCCGGGACTGTCAAAAACAGGTGCCAGTTGAAGCAGCCATTGTCACCAAGATTACAGCTGCTTCAAAGCAGTGATAGTAATAATAGCAAAAGCATCCAATAAAAGCAAAAGTTATACATGTGCGATTTGAGCAGAGGTAATAGCAGCCCTGAGCAGTCCACTGCGCATTGGCCTGCTGTGCCACCATACTCAAATGGATGGAATGTCTCATACGCTGCATTTACTTGTTAGCACACTGATCAAAACCTTGAAGGGCACCCAAACTACCTCAGAAAATTTGTTTAACATCTCGAGTAAATGCACGCATCACGCTCAGAATACCATCATCACGAACAATGTCAAAGCAAGCAGTGCTACGAGCTGTAAATTCGCCCCCAATTTCAAGAAACAATCCCTTCTTTCTGGGTCTTTCGATGATGTTCAACATTGGCAGCGACGTCAACATTGTCATACCATCCACAAATAATGCGTTTGTAAGCTCGCAGATACAAATGGCCCAGCTGCTGTTTTTCCTTTTTGCACTGCAAGAAACACTCGGGAGAAAAAGGGGAGATCGGCTGATCAACGCCACTTAGCAAAGGAGTGGGCCCTGCCTTTGGATCGTCAGCTGCACTATTCTGGCAGCATTCCAAAAAATTGGTCGCGTATCTACGCGCTTTGTTGCAAATGTCGTCGAAAGACTTATAGTTTTCTGCCAGCAGTGTTTTACAGCAAAAGCTATTATGACATCACAACAACAGTCACGTGGGCCGCAGTTGTCTGCCACTGCCGATGTACCTAACCACTACTGCGCAAAATAAGAAACGCCAGGGACACAATGGGATTCGAACTCGGGTCCCCTGCGTGGCAGCCCGGCACTACCACTGAGCCAGACCGGTGCTTGAAACTTCGCGGCAAATTGGCCTTAGGCAGGCTTGATGTCGGAAAAGGAATCACGTTAATATCTGTAATAAAGCATTTTAGAAGCGAGAACAAACGACCAGGCCTCACACTATGTGAATCGACTTACGAGTGGGTCGTCAAATGCTCCAACTCCCTCAACTCCCCCCCCCCCCCCCCTTGACTACAACTTCGGGCATAATTTTTCATTGTCAGCTACAACATGAAAAAAAATTGTGCAAATTTCCTTGCAAGTGTGTAGCACGTACCACGCTCTCCAAAGAATGACATAACGAATGCCTCCCGACTACATGAAAATTACGATTTATGATGTGTTAGATACCCTGCAATCATGCTTGAAACAGTTACCCAAAGAGTTTATAAAAAAGGTTCTGAAAGGCTACTCTTTCAGCTTTCACTGCGACTGTGTTGCGCGTTCCACACAGGTTTGGTGAATTTTTTGTGCATAGTGTCGCATTTTCATCGCAGCACAGTAAAAACACTAGGGACCTTAAAAAACATATTTATGTATTTTCTAGTAAAGGAACACAACACTTAATACTTGCATATTGATGCTTCACCACAAATGTGCGTAACATTTGCTTTTTGATTGACAATGTTCCCAAGCATGAACGCAGCCACCAGTTCAAGATCGCTGCAAATTCAGGAAGTGCTTAAACCTTGGCCGGGTGGCTGAATCATGTGAGAAACACAGACAGACCGAAATTTCCGAGTTCAAGTATCCCAAGAAAGACTATCGTCTGTAAAAACTATCATGATTGCAAGCCTGTTGAAGACTCTGCCCAACTGCAACACCACAACTCCTTTTCGACCTCTGGATGGTTTAGGGACCCCTTTAACGATTGTGATCGCTACACCCATACGAGACGCTACACACAGCCATCACAATACAGCGCCACAGGTGTTGCTCACAGGCCGGGCGTAACCCACCTGGAATTCGAGGAAGAGCATCTTCTCTATGCGCTCTGTGACCCGGGCAATGGTGACCTCTTTGGCTCCAAGCTTGGGTCGCGCCACCAGCTGCATCTTGGGCAGAGTGCGAAAGCCGTACCTGCATGCAAGCCAAGCACAGCTCCTATTATAAATCGTTGGCGTTTTTGAGCCAAGAAGCACAACATCATTACGAGACTCCATAGTGGAGGGCTCCGGAAATTTTTTACCACCTGGGGTTCGTTTACGTGCACCTCCTCAAATCTAAGCACGCTGGCCTCTAGCATTTCGGCTCCATTGAAACGCATGCAGGATTCCGTCCTGCAAACTTGCTTGGCCGTCGAGAACAATAACCACTAGACCTCAGCGGCCGGTTATGTAAAGCTCAGAATTGCTGCATGCTTTGTTTTAAATTCTAACATTATGTCCAGATCGGGTATAACACAAGTAAAAACTGCAAAAGGAACAGGAATGGCACAGGACTGTAATCCAGTGCCATCCTTGTTCCTTTTGCACTACAGTAGTTCCTAAATTATGTTATCCATTCAGATGTATGGGAGCACATAGTGTGGTGAGCGATCACTAGACTGTGCGTGCCTCTTATTGGATGAAAGCGATCATTCGAGACGTTTCAACTTTCGAGCACTCGCTCTTGGTGTGCTTCGTTTTTCGCTTGGAGTCGCTGCGCCACAAGGCGGCAGAGCGCAGGGCACGAAAAGCGGCTGCACCACGCGCTCGCAGACAGAAGGTGAGAGCCCAGAGGTGAGAGCCGGCCAAGCCGAAGCTGCACGGAGGCGCTGAGACACGTATCCCGACATTCGAGCCCGCAAAACATAAGGTGCATGGCGACGCCGAGAAGTGGATCCAGAAACTGCAAGAGCCCAAGAAGCCGCGAGGAAACGCAGGTACAGGAAGGCGGATTTCGAAGCAGTGCATGGGAAGCTGCTGCGAAGTGCCTCAAGCGAGCCCTGCCAAAAAGTCGCAGTTGCCAGTTTCAAGCGCGACTTCTTAGACAACAGTTGCGACCACAGCTGCAATGTCTGCGAAAGATTGTGGTTTGCCAACAACGTCGTTACGGTATCGACAGACTGACAAACGGACCGAGCTTTGCCCCATTCACCATCATTCATTCCGGGGATATGTTGCGATTTTTTAAAGAAGAATGAACATAAGCACAAACCGCATATGAGGAGCTTGTCCTAGGGTGCATGTCCACTCCCTTTTTTGTTTTCAGAAAAACGGGGTTTCAGCCACAGAAAATGCTGTTTAAAAAAACTACGAATGTGAAAAATGTTCACAAAAGAAAATCTTTCACAAGCTCTTTTTTTGCACTTTGCCTTACTCTGTGCCCTTAAACAGTTTCTAACACAAGTGTGACCCAATAGCACAACACCCGCTTGTTACATGAACAGCCCCAGTTAGATTCTGTCTCAGACCCAAGATTTTTCTTATTTGCATCCCTTGGGATTTTTTTGTCACAAAGAATGCTAATACTCCGCTCCTAACCAATCACAACCAACATCAATACTTCTGCAAAAGAGGCTAATCAACATTCAAACTCACCAGATGCGGTCAGTGGGTGGGGGTGGGATGTTGAGGGCCACTGTGCCCACCAGGTGGCTGATCTCAACAGTGAGCACGAGGGGTGTGTTGGAGACCTCCTCCATCTTCCGCTTGATGTAGCGATTCTCGGTAGCCTGCTGGAAGTAGCGAGATTGCGCTATCTTGTCCACCAGCTCCAGCAGCTTCTTACCCGTGCCCGTCGCGGAGCTACTGCAGAGACAGTGAGAGGGACGACCATGCTTGAGAGAAGGAGAGGCTAAAAACTGAGGTCGATAATAAAGAGAGTCCTCTCAGCTGAAACTACGAGGGAAAGAAAGAAAAAAAGATATTACCCGTGACACCACTTGTTTGAGGCACTATTTCCTTGTATGGGGATACAACACTTCATTCCAAAGGAGTATTGTGCACATTGAATAAAGCTAAGTAAATACAACGCAGCTGCAGACAGCCTGTCATAAGTTACATCTGTTCACCATAACTTACATCTAAAGCTAAAATGGCTGAAGCGCTTTTGAACAGTTAATGCTTTGCTGTGAAGCGTAGGAGCGATAATGCTTGCAAGTAATTTTTCTGTTTTAACAAAATATAATGTCTGACAAGCACTCACGGGTCTCTCGATAAGGTGCTCGTGTCCCCCTTGTCGGTGGTGGCTCCCTCGTCGTCCGAGGAGGAAGCGGCACTCTCGTCGTCGTAGGCATCGTGGTTTATGGCGAGGCTGTGCGAGGAAAACTGCCCGTTAGAAGACATCTAACCACGTAGGCACTGATGTGTTTGGCATGTCAGGCACCACATCACATGCATGAGAAAATTCATAAACAGGGATCGCGTTCTCAAGCAGAAGTTTTAACAAGTGCACCTGTCTCCCTGAAGAAGACAAGTCTGTGTCGAATGTCTGTTTGAGGGAGGTCTGTGTCATATGTCTGTCTGAGGGAGACAAGTCTGTGTCGTATGTCTGTCTGGAAAAGACAAGTCTGTGTCATATGTCTGTCTGAGGGAGATTAGTCTGTCTGTCTGAGGAAGACAAGTCTGTGTCATATGTCCGTCTGAGGACTAGCATGTTTGTCTGAGGAAGACAAGTCCACTTGTCGAAATCCTGGCTGAAGTACACAACTACTGTTTACTGTTTACGGATGTTTTCATCACAAGCTTCCACCTTCTCCTTCCTGTTGTTTTTGTGGATTACCACATCACAAAGAGTTTTGTGCAAACAGTAAAGAATTCTGTTGCACCTAATACTGCAGCCCTCTGTGTACGATGGTTGACGATCCCCCCAAATTTAGCAGGACAGCCCGAACCTTTAAGCTTAGTCTTGACTTCACTGAGAAGGAACACGTAAACATCCGTTCAACCTTTGATGTTCGACGTGTGCTCAGCTTAACACTGATGGAAGGAATAAGGAGCAATGGTGAAAAAACAAGCAGACATCCATATCACAAACTACTAAATCGGTTTAACAATATTAGGTAACACACACAGTTGAATCCTTTTATGAGAGGCACTGATATAGGAGACAAGTAGGTGTAAAAGACACCAGTGTGCGACATCGAAATAGGGGTTGATCCAGGAACAAGAACATGGTACCCTGCTTATAAGGCACAAGAAATGCTTCCCAGTACGAGTCTCTTGTAAAGGGGTTCAACTCCACTTCTACAGGGGGGATGGAAAGAATGTGGCACAATGTTTTAATCTAGCTCAGATTTTAGTGGCAATAAAAAGATGCTACAAGGGTTACTGATCGCATCGTGGATAACTCTAGTGGCTTTTCGCTATCCCACAGACAACAGCTTGAAAAAAAAAAAAAAAGCAAAACAGCTGAGAATGTAGACACTGTGCTGTTTGCATTTCTTTCTATTCCTATTGCCCATTCGAACCTCTATATAACAAACCTGCATATAACGAAATATTGGTTATAACAAAGTAAATGAAAACAGCATTGCAACGGATGCAGCGTTAAGAATACAACTTTATAACAAATTTTCAGTAATTACAAACTTGCTTTCGTGCAAGATGCAACCTAGTCATAATGAAGTTTCATTTACTTTATAAAGGTGGTGTGGGTGCAAGAGAAGGCGAGATAATGAAAATTGATGGTGCTGTGTGCCGAAACAGCAGCATCCATGTGGGCCCACTGCCAAAAGCAAACTCTGCCCAACGAGACAAAACGTAGGAAGTTGAGAAAAGACCTCTGCATCTCCTCGGTCTGGGAGCGCTTGAGCCGCATGAGGTTCAACTTGGTGCTGAGGGTCATGTAGAAGGCCCCGTTGTAGGTGACGTCCATGTCGACCCAGACGCCCCGCTTGTCCACCACGGCCTCAGAGGTGCGCCGCACGTATGGTAGTTGCGAGCCAAGGTGGATGTCAGTCACCATCAGCTCCTCCATGAAGAAAGGAACCTGGCAACAACCAAGGCGTGTTCGTTAAACCCAACATTTTATTACGCCCGCAGAGCAGACTCAATGAATGCAACCTGAAGGAGCTGACAAAACATGATCTGTTCAACAAGAGTACTGTTTACTGACAGGTGAGAGCAGAATTCAGGTACGAAAGGAATCACATTAGAGGTAGAACTTAGTTTACTGTGTATCAAAAATAACAAGGCAATCTTTATTCATTATATTCTGTAAATCACTATATTCCTATTTTTGAAACTAAAAAACGTGGCCCCGCGGTGGTCTAGTGACCAGGGTACTCAGATACTGACCCGCAGGTCGTGGGATCGAATCCTGGCTGCGGGGGTTGCAATTTCAAAGGAAACAAGAATGTTGTTGGCTCGTGTGCTCAGATTTGGGTGCACATTAAAGAACACCAGGTGGTCGAAATTTCCTAAATTTTATAATTATTTGATGGTTTCGGGACATTAAACCCCAAATATCAATAAAAACTAGACAACCTTTTCATTATTCAAATCTAGTACTTCACCATATTAATATTTCTGAAACTGAAAAACCCAACCTTTTTTATTCATTTTAGCCGGTAATTCACTAGATCCATATTTTTAAAGCTGCAATACCAAGAAAATATTTTCATTGAGATTTTGTGGCACTAAAGCTGCTCATGCTATACTGCACCACCGTACTGAACAGTAGCTTTTAAGACCAAGGTTTAACACTAAACATGTTGCTTTCAAACAAAGGGTTCACTTCTAATGCAGGTCGATCACTGCAGCACAGTTGGAGTTCGGTGCAAGCAGCCTTGCGCAAGCTTACCTTGATGCGGTTGAGCTTCTTCTGGATTCGATGCCGAACGACGTCAGCCCATTCGTGCTGGGTGAAGACGTCGAAGAAGAGGCGCCCGACCAGCATGTTCAACCACTGTGTGTCCGACTTCATACCCTAATTGCGTCAAAAAAAAAAAAAAAAAAGCAGACGAATCTGATTTGAAATGAAAAGCGACAACTTAGGAGTATTAGGCTTTTAGTTTTTCCTTATAGTAGCCTAGTGCATACAGTTCAAACACATAATGAATGCCACATGTGACAAAGGTAATTATGACTAGTGACGATTTGATCTGCTAATTCTTTGCAGTGTTGCCCTTGCTGCACATTACGTTATCTAGTTATACGATATTCTCATTTCTGCTGAGTAGCTCTTTCCTAGCCTCTCGGAAAACAGAAGAAATGCAGCTTTGTGTATCTTGTAAATTAGTTAAGCTTAAGTTAAGTTAAGTTAAGTTAAGAAAGATTATTGTACAAGTCAATATAAAAAAACTAAAGTCAATGAAGTAAGAGATGATTTGGACAAGCTACAGCAGAATATCTCCACACACACTGTGTCACTCCTTAAGCGTTCAGTGGTCACTTGCTTCAATTCTTCATTCTCTCCGCACAGCACCACCACTCTAGTCTCCTTTCACAACAACCAACGGGTGAACAGGCGCAAGCCCCTGCCGAATAAGTGACAGGCGTGCACGGTCATCCCACCTGTGAGAGAGCAGTGCCCTGCGACGTCGGAAGAAGCGAACTCTTCGCCGTCGTGACGTACGGAGGGATCCACTGTTGCTCGCGGTGCCTCATCTGCAGCTCCTCGATGTAGGCGTCGTACGTGATGACCTGGTTGAAAGACTCTTCGAAGCACGACCGCCTCGCCCTTGGCTCCTTGTCTAAAAAAGAAAAGGAGGGACAGGAAGGGCATGCACTTCGGTTTTCACACGGCATTTATACATTGTTGAACGTTCTAAAGCAGGAGACGCTAAAGTCACCGAAGTTGGAAGCTAGTGTCGGCATTTATCCATTGCCAGAAATGCAATGACAATGCTAATGTGCCATCAAGACCCAGGCACACACATGCCTGGAACTACCACAATGTGACAGACGTAGTGGTTTTGGGTTTTGTGCTCCAAAACCACTACATTGTTGTGAGGAACACTGTAGCGGAAGGCTCCGGCAATTTTTACGAGCTCTTGTTCTTTAACCTGTAATGACATTGCACAGTACACAGGGCTCTAGCATTTCACTGTCATCAGAGTGCGAACACCACAGCCAGAATAGAACCTGTGACCTTTCAGTCCAGTCAGCAGCCGAGCAGCGCTACTGCTATGGAGAATAGACTTAAATCATGACAAAGACGCCACTGCGATGTTGTCATTGAGTCTCAAACCTGACTTTGCAATGAGAATTTTACAAACGTTACATTACATAGGCATCCCTGAGTATCATAACACTTACGCTGAAAAACTGATTGTCACTATGCGTTACACCAGCACAATAGTATAGAGTAATAATGTAGATGTCATTTCAACAATATTATTGAGTCATAAAATGGTGCAGTCGTAATGCAGGTGCGAACATAAAACGACCATGGCACGATCAAATCGCCGACAAAGGATATTCTAGTGGAGACGTCGTGCATAAATTGGACATTGTAATGGTTGCGCGTGATTATGACGTGCCTTAGCAGCTCAACGACTATGACACTGCACTGGTCAGCTAAATGTCTTAGGTTTGATCCTCGCCACACTTCTATGGGGAACAAGAGTGAAGAAAAGGTGTGCAGTTAAATTTTAAATTTGGTCATTTGGGCTACATCGCAGTTTGCTTCCAAAGCCTCAATATTCACATTAGCAGCCTGAGCTTTCTCCAAGGTGTTGTGGGATCGGGACAGCTTACATGGTGTCGTTCATAAAGGATTACCCAAGACAAGGACATGAAAAACAAGGAATAAAGGAAATAAAGGAAAATAAGGAATCGAAAAAAGAATGACAAAACAAGAAAGTAAACAAGGCAGGACAGCCGCTCACCCGGTGTCCATACACAACACCTTGTGCTGGTACTCGATGCACCATGGTGTCAGTACACAATGCCCTATGGTGCCAGTACTAAACGTCCCACCGTCAGAAACACAGACTAGACTGAAAAGTTCTTTTTGGTCCGTGTTATATCTACACAAGCCTTCCCCCAAACAGCCATAGAAGCTTACCACCATACATGATGGCCTGCTGGAACCTCCGGAACCACTCTTCTTTCTCCCGGCACGTCCGCGCAAACAGGTACAGCACCTCGTGCTCCATCTTCGGCGAGGGCGACGCAAGCGTCGGTGGCTGAGATTCCTTCGACACTGAACCGTTCGTTTGTGCTGAAGCCCTCTCCTGGCTCGAGTCCTTGCGAGCCACGGCATTGGTGGCTGCAAGGAGCGCAAAAATGGCCAGACGAGCATAAAACTCTCTCTCGAATTTACGCCCACCATATTGTAGGGATACTGAGTAGATTTGCACAGGCAACGTTTTCCTCTGACACCCTTTTACATCAATATTCGTAGAGAAGGCAGAGTGCTGGAAGTTCAAGGAGCTTAATTTTACTTGGTCAGGAACGTGTACTGAGATGCGTACTGTTCAAGTGGTGACACTACACTGCTTGCTTGCAATTGCATTCGACAAGATACCAGATAACAACAGCACGCCTATTGACAGGGTGATGGCAGCAGATGTCTTATCAGAGGGACTATGCAACATCACACAAAAATGCTTCACATACCACTGCTTTAGCAGTGACGTAATCTGTGGCATTGCACGTAATGTTTTTAGCTCGCTTTGGTTATAAAAAACGAGGCCCGAGTTTCCAGATTTACTAGCTGGTGTATTGATTGATTGATATGTGGGGTTTAAGGTCCTAAAACCATGATACGATTATGAGAGACGCTGTATGGGAGGGCTCCAGAAATTTCGACCACCTGGGGTTCTTTAACGTGCACCCAAATCTGAGCAGATGGGCCTACAGTATTTCGGCCTCCATCGAAAATGCAGCCGCCGCAGCTGGGATTCGATCCCGTGACCTGCAGGTCAGCAGCCGAGTACCTTAGCCCCTAGATCACCACGGCGGGGGCCCTAGCTAGTGTGTCATAGCCACGTTTTAAGACTAGAAAATTCAGATTTACTGCCAAGTGCAAGTTCCTACGACAACCCCTTTGCGTTTTGAAATTGCGTTGCCCTACCAACAGGTAATTGCTGCCATCGCATAACAGGTGCTGGACGCTGTTAATATACCCAGTGGACTGCGTCTTGCAAGCATCCTCATCGAGAGAGCATATGTATTACCACTGTGGAAAGCGATGGCTGTGCACAATCAGCATTGCTTTCTGACGCGGACGATGCTCAGTGTTTCACTTGCTGGAAAAAGGCGACACTATATCACGCGTTCAAAAATGCTAAGTAACAACCTATAAAGTAAAACGAGCACAAATATCTCACTGGTGCGCGTTGGGATGAGTTTAATAATGCGGAGTATTTCTTATATCTGGCGCAGAAAGTATGGAAGCAACTGCGGGCCTACATTACTAAGCAATGGTATACGTGTTATTTGGCTCCGTAGCCTCCTCTTAATTGCCAAGAAAAGTTGTCCACGAGTATAGCCTTGTTATAAACTGTCCGAGTGCTTCATTACGAGCGTGACCCCGCCACATGAAATTCATGAATGAGCGACAAGCCTGGTTCCTAAAGTGATTTGCATTTAAAAGTGCTGCAGAGCCCCCCTTGAAACTTTGAGAAGCAAAGACACCACAGACGTCATGCTGCGCTGCACATGCCACGAAGGAAGCGACATATCTAGCCCTAACTCACGGCCAGTCAGGTCGTCCTTGGAAGACGCAGTGGCAGCGTCAGCGTCTTCGCGGGTGGCGTCCCTCACGTAGAGGTCCTTGACTGTGACGTTGAAATCCTCGTCTGAACCCGCGTGGGGCGCTGCGTCGTCCTGGTTGTTGGAGTCGAGCTGCATCTGTCTCATGTGGTGCTCCTCAGACGGGATCAGCAGGCAGATCGGGTACTTCTTGTTCCACAGCCTAGACGGGCGCATGAAGTACGGTTGAAAAAAGAAAAAAAAAAAACGTTTCACAGCCAAGGAAAAACAATTAATGCAATAGCAACAGAAATAATGCCAGAACATGCAGCACAGTGAGAGCGAAAGCTAGAGAAAAAGGCTTTTGTTGAGCCCATTGTAAACTCTCTGGGGACAACTATTACAAGTAGAGTTGCAAAGTGGATGCAACACACAACTATGCAACAAAATCAGCTGTTGTGATCTCATAACATGCTTTCACTGTAATTGGACAGACTAGCAGCTAATTTCTTCAGTATCCGAACTCGCGTAATTTCAAAAGCTGGCATGAAGAAGTACGACCACCCCAGGGAGTGAAGTGCTTTTGTGCTATCCGTCTTCTCAATGAGAAGTAGGCAGTGAGAGCACACTCGTCTACCGATTTTCCGGACCTGGTGGAGATCGTCAAATAGTAAAAAAAAAACCAACAGTCTGGAAAAATGGTCAAGCCACGAAAATGAAGCTTATTCGGATTATAAAAGCCTATGGAAAATCCCCAATAATGCCATGCTTCAAGCTGTTCTTGGGGACCAGCAAATTTGGTTATATTTGGGTTACTGCAACATCGTTGGAAAGCACGTTGGCGATCGCTGCTGCAGACTGTTGCCGGTGGCAAATATGGTGGCTCCATGGACCAAAGCAAACTAAACTTGATGCCGGTCGCAAAAAGATGCATTTAATGTCTTGCCTGTTTGGTGGGATTTAACAGCACAGTCTGGGCTTCTTTAAACTGCACCAACACCGCAGAATATGTGAGCCTGCAGCATTTCGCCACCATCAGAATGCTACTGTCGACGGCCGCGATAGAACGAGTGTGTCCCAGGGTCAGTAGCCGAGAAGAACTGTCAAACTCAGACATGTGTGAACGAATAAGTTCCCACCTGTCCCGCGCTAGTTTTTCCGGAAGCAGTGTAACTTTGGCATAAGTGAGGCTGAAGTGGCGCTGGCCCACAAAAACTGGCTCCGGGCGCTTTTCGTTCCACATGGCCCGGCGAGGCACCGGATGCTTGGGCCAGCGCAGCCGCAGCGTGTTCCCAGACAGCACCAGGTGCACTGACTGGGTGTTGTTCATGTGGTGCGTCTCGATGTGATACTCGCTGTCGAAGGGCAGCTGAGACATCCAACCCTGCAAGGGAAACAATAATTGCATGGCACCGGAAGTTTACATTTCTGCTATGCGTATAACAATATGATAAACTTATCAACATACCTTGCACCAAGTCTGCAAAACTGTGTGGCTATGTGTATTCTTAAGTTAGGGTACTCTCCTATCGAGTTTTCGAACATTCTGCTATAAGACTGCCGAGTTATGTGCGGTCTGTCACGTATATTCCTGTGCAGTGTGGTGAAGTACAGAAGCGTGCGCAACGTGACTGGTCAGTCCACATATCCTCACAAAAGCAAACATTCTTCCGAGTCAATACACAGCCGACAGAGATCTTGCACTCGGTACATTTATGCAGAAAGTTTAAAGAATATTTAATGTCCTAAAGCGGGCGCTCACGTGAACATCACTTACTTTTTTTGCTTGCACATGTGAGGTGCTCTGAGCTCGGTGCACTCCCTCGATCATCAGCATAAACTGAGTTATGGCTGAATACGACCTAATAAACAATACTTTGATGCCATTAAGGGGAGCTGCTCCACGAAAAAGGCTTTTTTTAATTTCTAGTCGTAGACACTTGAAAATTTTGTTATTAATATAGTTTTTCATGGAGATTTCAAATATGCAATCATCTTTTGTGTAGCTGCTATAGTTATTGAGTTATGCCATGCACAATAGCAAAAAGTTACATGCTTTGTGGGTACTCTTTCATGTACTTAACTTTCAGTAAAAGCATTGTCTCTGATCTTATTTGACTTTTGGTAGATTGTAAAGTGCGAATATCTATCCAGATATGTTGCAGAAATATTAGAACCAAAGAAAAAAAATCCTATTGAATGACTAATTATTTTCAATCTGCCTTGAAACAATAACATAATATTTTCACAACTGATTCTGATAGGCATTGCAATTTCAAGTAGATGTTTGCATTCTGCATGTGTTGAAGAATATGTGTGCCAAGCTTCGTTATTATACATTATGTATAAGTGTCTAAAAGGCTGCCCAGAAAATGTGAAATTGACAAAAAAAAGTTAAAATGAGAAAAAGTTTGAAAGTTTGGAAAGTTGGCATTTATTAAAAAAACATTTTCTTGCATCAAATTGGGGCACAATGAAAAGCATCTTGCACTGAATGCTCGGAAGACAGAGAACTGCACAAAATTGTGAAAGTTGTTCATGGCCTGCGCTTATAGCGCATGCTGCCAAAACTACCTTCCAACGTTTACAGCAAAGCTATCACGCGAGTTGCCGCTGTCAAAACGAGCGCTCGTCCCTTGGTCCCTGGCCGAAGTAGTACGTCTCGACGCGTGCGTGAATGAAAGTGTAGATTCAGGGCAATCTGTATTTTCACAGCACAGTTCGAGGAATGCCGAAAGCACTTTGCGCTTTCCAGCTAACTCAGACGACAAGTTCCCGTTCGCGGCAGGTTGGGCATTGCGCACCCACCACAAGGGCAGTCAGCGCATCGACTCCGCAAAGCAGCGTGTTGGCAGTAGCAGCACCTACTGGTCTACGTTCATTCTCGAAGAATCCGCTCTTCATTTGGGATGCACCGACGAATTCCACGGCAGCAGCTATTTCACAACCACTGTCGCCGCAGTGTTTGGTGTCAGTTGGGCCTATCTGAAGTAGGGGCGTTGGCCGGCAGTGACAACAGCGTTCCCTGTCGCTTTGGAAAGCGTTCGACGCCATTTTCCTCGATAATTGGGGCGAGTTCTGAACTTTCGATTATCTAGACTGCGCTTCTCGGGGCTTGCCGTACACAAAACTGCAGAGAAACACCGAACTCCTCGATTGCGACGTCCGAGGCTTCCCTCTTTTGCCGGAAGGATAGGAGGGAAAAGAGGTGGCGCGCACCGCCAACCAATGGCGGCCTCGCTCTGCTTGCCGCGATATTCAAAACGCGTAACGTATGCGTTGTTTTTCTTGTTTTTGGTTCATTCTTCGTGAAGACACGAGACTGGCTACTAGTGGATTGTGAAGGGGAAGGCCTTCACAGCATGCGTGCACGATTGCAAATGGCAGCCAACGCGTCGTTTTCGCGACAGGACGAGAACAATGCCATTTTGTGGCGACTTTCACACATTTCTCACGTCACCGCTCCCTACTTGGAAGCACTTTTAGATAATTTGTCATGCAAATTCCAGGTTGATAATTTCATAAGTAAAACATTATAGTTCAAAGATGCCAATACAACCGAAAAAAAAAAAAGCGAAAATTTTCCAGAAAACCACGACTTTTCGACCGGCGTCTCCCCTTAAACAACACATGAAACAGCTGGGACTGGAAAACACGTGTGAATTAATGAGGGTCACATTCACAACTTATTAGTGTAGTTGGTTACAATGCAAGAAAAACGTCAGCTCTACCCACAGCCATTGGTGTCCCTGCCACTGATAATTTGCATAAATATCCTGTCCAATAGCGCTTACTCCTTCCTGTGATGTCAAGCATTTCTAGGGTGTGTCAGAACTTTCTCATACAGACATGTCTGCATTAGTGGCTCTAGTTTAGAAACTTGAAACATATTGATCAGAAATTGCAATATCACTGCTCTGCAAAACTCGACAGGTAGTAATGACAAATTCTTAGCTTTTGATGTGCATAGCACTTACCAGTGAAAAAAGACTTGTGGTTTGAGTGTAAACCAGTTAGCACGACCCTCTATCACGTGTGGAGGACAAGCATGCCACTGTTCTATGGGTGGAGCTTATGGTTATTTTAGGTTGTAATTGAGTATAGTGAGCAAGGCGTAAATATCAAGCAATTTATGGCATTGCCAGTGCCTAGGCAAGCCAGCTTGCCAATTTGCTGCTCAGTCAACTGATATTTAGGGAAGCTTCCCAGACAACGGAGGCACCAACCTCATACGAGTTGTTGTCCCGACTGGAGTCACCCGCGGGTTGCCGTGGCACCCTCAGTGGCGGCATCCGGCTGTAATCGGGCACTTCAAAGGGGTGCCGCTCCTGCGTCGGCACCAGCAGGTACCACAGGAAGCTGAACACGAAGAAGGACGCGACGCAGCCGACGACGAAGCCGCTCGGGAACGACGGCATGGGCAGCACCATGGCCAGCAGGCCGACCAGGCCCGAGATGAGGAACGAGTTGGTCTTCATCATGGCGTGCACGAGCACGGTGAGGTTGGGCGTCTGTGGGCCCCGGAACGCGTGCGAGAAGTGGCGAGAAACCGTGGGCAACGGAGACGGGATGGGGTGCTTCAGGGGCCCCTCGGGCTGCTCGACGAACTCCCATGTAGTGAGATCGGGGTCGGGCATGTCGTCGGTGCCGCTGTTGACAAATTGCCTTTCGAGAAGTGAAAAAACAAAGCCGGTACTCAATTAGCAGTGCGAAAAATACGCTGGCATTAAGTCAATACAACTTCTGGAGTTCAATACGCCAAAACCACAATGTGGTTACGAGGCACGCCATACTGGTAGGTTCTGGAAATTTCGACGACCTAAGGCTCTTTAATGCTCCCTTAAATGGGCACATGGGCCACTCGCTCCATCAAAATGCGGTTTCCAAAGCTAGGATTTAACATACTTACTGCTGTATACATTGAAACGTCTCTACATTTGTGACAAGCCTCTGCCAGGCCTGGCCCTTACCTCGAATCTTCTATTGGAACGGCGCAGAGAGCAATCGCGAAGGAAGACTAGACAACACATGACATGACAGCAACTAAATGCTTTTTCCACAAAAACTGGCAATCCCCGTAGGCAATAATGTAGATGGCTGAGGCAAAACCCTATTTTCTCACAAGAATGTGCCGTTCTCACATCATAATTAGCAGCCTGATTACGACCACTTGGGACAAAAACCTCTCCCACGTTACGCCAATTGACCCAGTCCTGTGCTTTCTGCTGCCACGTTATACCCACAAACTGAATTTTATCTGCTCACCTAAATTTCAGTCTCCCTCACACATTTGCTTTTTTTTGGAATCCAGTCACCCTTAATGACCAGTGGTTATCCTGCCTACGCGTTTCATGCCAGGCCGATGTCCATTCCTTCTCTTGGTTTCAACTATGATATCCTCAGCCCTTTTTCACAACGCCACTGCACATGCCGTAACGTTCCCCTAGCAGTAGTGTTGCTAAGTACCTTTTGACCTCGGAGGTCGTCACTTTGGCTTTGCTTAGGCTACACTGGTTGTCACGGGCTATACCTAAACCCTACCAAAACTGCAGAGGGCGTCACATGAAAATGCAAAAAATTTGGCAGATCCCACACATCGTGGGAATCGATGCATGCAAATGACTACAACATTTCGCTGGGTGGGCAGCCACAATTGGGCAGAGTCGATGGTGTTCTCTGTGCTACGACACACCTGTCGCTTGCGACAGCATGCACGATAACCACTGTGGCTGCTATGATCGTCATGAACTACCACGAGGAAAGCACATGGTTGGTATGTTGTTATGACACACTGCAATTAAGGCACACACATGTGCAACTGGACATTTTTACAGGCATCCGTACTGAAAATAAGAAACCCACCGCAGTCTTTCATAGGAAATTACACGTTACGTAGGAGACAAACTCGGCATGCACAGGAAGTGAAAACCGACTCAAGAACGGTACTTCTTAAAAAAAAAAAGAAACCTTTATTAATCTTGGTTGAGTGGGGTCACATGGAACACTTAACCAGAAAAACACTAACACTTTATAAAAAGATTGTCTAATCAGAGGTATTGCAAACATATCTGAAACACTCTCACCAAAATTTCATGGCCAGCTTCACTGCTGTGAAAGATAGTTAATTAAACATGACTAATTATGCAATAGTAAGAGGAAAAAGAGTACAGTACAATTGACTCCATGCAATAGCGAGCTACAAGAATTTGGTCGCATCACCATGAAGTGCGTCGGCGTAATTTACAACTCTGACTAGAGATAGCTGTACAAGCCTTCCGCCTTTAAAGAAACCTGGTGCCTCACCTGCCACTGCACGTCCTCGTGTCGTCACCTTTCTCTGTTGCCTCCTTGCACTCGTCCAGCGCGTGGCCCGCCGTACGGATCGACGTCGTCTCATCGTCGTGCAGCGCAGTCGAGCCGGTCATGGTCCCAATCGTCACGCCAGTGACATCGCTCGTCCCGACCGTCGTGGACTTGGTGTCTTCGTCCCGGCGCAGCAGTCGCGCGCCTTGCCGCTTCTCTTCGAGCCACCTAAACCGACCCTTGAGGCCCGTGAACCAGCCGTCGTGGTCGCTAGGGGCAGTGGCCCCCACGCTGGGCGATGCGGCCAAGTGGGCCTCGATCGTGGAGTGAGATATGCTTGCCTTCTTGCTGAACTTGGAGAGGTAGTCCTTCATAGATTCCTTGACTGGCGACGACTCCTGAGCAAAGAGGAGGAAATTATTACAGTGAAAGCTCGTCAATTCGGATTTCATGGGACACTTAACCAGAAAACAGGAAAAACTCTCCAAGTTGACCAAATGGCACATTATCGAAATTATCGAAAAAACAAGAAATAAATGTTCATCTGGATCAATGCCCTTAATTTTTTTTTAGGAACACAAATTCAGTCATTTTGCTTAACAGCAGTCCAAAAGCTGCAGTTTTAGCCATTGGCAACTTCATTCACAATGCGAACATGGCTCAAGACACGTGCATTTCAATTCGAAACATCGGACTTCATGCCTTACTACGCACCAAGAATGCAATGTTAGATTGCGATCATGCCTTTCTAAAGGCACATGGCCGTTTCAGCTGTCCACAAACGCTGCTTTCCCTTCATTTGCGATGCACATTTGTGGTGCTTCACGCTTGGCGTGTCCGAATTAACCAGGTTGTGGCCAAATATGGCCGAATGAACGAGTTTGATGCCATTAAGCAACGCATATGCCCATCAGAGCCAGAAAACACGTCTGTCAGAGTTTACAAATTAACGAGAGTCAAATGAACAAAATTTTATGGTATACGTTTCTAGAGTGCCCGATACACGCAAAGGGCCTTAGGGAACACCTAGTTACTGGACAGTGGTATGAGGGGGCAGCCAGAAGTAACCAAAATAACTATTTTGCACAACACTACCGAAGTATGCAATGTTACCAGTAGGCAAGCATTAAGCAATGTTACACCTTCCAAGTTTATGGAATCCAGTGTATTCTCCCAATTAACTTTTCTATGGGTACAGTGACGCTTCTCGTGGGAACAGTTTTTGAGATGGCCTTTTGAACTGACTAGCAGGACACCGTAGAGCTTTGCTCCATGCTCTGACAAAATGACTCTGCCACTACAGCGACACTAAGCCTTGTTCACAAGAATGCTGCTATGAGCAAAGCATAAGGAAGAGTGACTTTCTTTCTGAATAAGGGTGAAATGTCGCCTCTTGATAAACTTCCTTGCGGACGTCCATCAACTTCTTGGGCGGTTGACGATGTCAAAAAATTTTGTGCACTCGTGCTCAAAAAAACAGCTGATCGACCACAAAAGAGTTGGATACGCGATATATCGCAGCTTGGAGCTCGGCACTGCGAATTTGACCAGAATACTTGGGGATAAGAAGTGGCGCTGCAAAGTTCCTACCTTGAATTTCGACAAATAGGCAAGGAGATGGACGAGCAAGAACAGGGCATCATGATTTGAAAGAACAGCTTCAAGGTGACCCGGATTTTTCCTGAACGAAATTTGACGTCCACAGAAATTTCCCTTATTGTGGCCATTACAAACAACACTGAGCGTGCAAAACTGCTTTCGCGGAAAAAACAAAAATCGCTGTATCGGGGCCTGTTGTGTCAGTATCTTTTCTTGTGGGTGTGTTTTCACACTCTGTTATGAACCAGCTCGCTCAGGAAGAAGTTATGATGATTGATTGATTGATTTACACGTGGTGTTTAATGTCCCAAAACCACCATATGATTACGAGAGACGCCGTAGTGGAGGGCTCCGGAGATTTCGACCACCTGGGGTTCTTTAACGTGCACTGAAATCTGAGCACACGGGCCTACAACATTTCCGCCTGTATCGGAAATGCAGCCGGGATTCAAACCCGCGACCTGTGGGTCAGCAGCCGAGTATTTTAGCCACTAGATCACAGCGGCGGGGCAGAAGTTATGATGACCAGAGAGAAATTGTCAAGTAGAGTGCCTTGGTTGTAATGAACTAGATAGGCATTTCACAATGCTCACTAAGTGGCAAAACTGTACTACAGTAGCTCCGCACAACACAGTGCCCGTCCGATTAATCTAGGGTACCCCCTCATTGTATAAACATCTTGTTACGCTTCATGCAACTGTTATCACAGACAAGTTTCTTAGTTTCAGCCTAGCGTTCTAGAAGGAAAAAAAAACTGAAATGCAAGTCAATTGATATTAAGCTACAGCTGAGAATTCTCACCAGCCGAGAAATAGCATGCACAAGGTTTCTGCAGCTATAATACTATGCTTGCCTAGTTCTTCTCTGCACTGCCAGATCGCACCATCTATCTGGTCTGTCCCATTTATGGTCTGTCACATTTATCGCTGCAGTATCTAGTATAATGCTAATGCAAGGAAGTTTGCGAGTGAGTTAAAACACTAGTCAAAAGATATTGACAGTGCTTTTCGATATGAGCAGTGGACCTGCTTTCAAGTATGCCCGATGTGAAATAACCAAAATTCTCTTAATTGTACAAAAAAGTTTCTGCAGAGAGTTGCCGAATGGTGTTCACATTGTGTAAAACTGAACTAAGACGAACGCTGAAAATCTTTAAACCGTTGTGCAACAGTAGATTTTGCATGACCCTGGAGATGCAATCTGTAACCCATTCTAGAGCTGCAGATTTTGAAAGACCCTGAAGATGGAAGAAATGTACTGAAATTCATTATTTAATGGACAAAACAAATCGACTCTGGAAAAGATATGTTAATTTAAAGCCTCGATTTATAGGACACTGTAGATATGGCAATTCCTAATTTTAGAGCAAAGACACTTGGCACGAGAGAACTAACGCATGCATCCACACAAGTGCTCAGCTGTCAATCCTACGAGTATAGGCATTTGTCCTCCCTTTCTTTATTAAGGACTAAATTTTTGAAACAAGAAATGTTGATGGTGTTCCAAATCTAAAACAATACAGTTATGAAGGACGACATAGTAGAGAAGTCCAGATATTCAAATAACCTGGAATTTTTTAACAAGAATCTAAATCTAAGCACACAAGCTCCTAGCATTTACCTCCATCGAAACGCAGCTCTGTGGCCAGAATTCTGTCTTGCAACCTCCAGGTCAGCAGTTGGGCAGCATAACTTGACCAACATGGCATGTAGGGCTACATTTTTTAGCGATAAAGTTCAAAATGATTAACACCCGAAAAACAGCCAAATTTTTTAGCGATTGCAGAAGTACCTCATTATGTCTGTCTATTTTATATCAGTGTTCATTATGTGAATGCTTGCTCCTTTTTTTCCCGCATATATTCGCCTTTCTGCTGTAACGCTAATCCCTGCTAAATCTGTCCATCTTTCCGGTCTCCCGAAGCTGAGCATTGCAGTCGGCTGAACAGTTGCCAAAGCTCACCACTTTGGAGTGCTCCGGTTCCGCTGGTGCAGCAACGTCGGCCGCAGGTGCTGCCCCGCCAGTCTTGCTCGAGACATCGGGAGGCTCCGGCGTGGCTTCCCTCTCAACGTTCGCAAGAGGGTGGTCCAGGACGTCCAGATCCGGTGCGCTCGTCGCTCGCCTCTCGGGCGCCGGACCGATGGAGTGCCTCCTTTCCACGGAGGCATCCCGGAAGCCTGTCCCAACGGCGGAGCGCTCTGCAGGTTGACTCGACGTCCCCACGATGGAGCTGCTGCAGTTTAATAAAAAAAAGTCGCAGCTTTGCCACAAAGTTGAAGCAATGAACGCGACAGCAACAAATGGGAATGTCACGTGCAGAATGGCAAGCCGATCGAAACGTGCTCCACGTTTACACGCACAAATGACACACGAAACGTACTCACAGGTACAGATTAACGCGAATATGCGTCTCAGTTGTTCCTTTACTGTACCTGAAAAGTGTGCCCTTTTCGCAATCAGAGACTGTGCAACGATTGCAGTGACCTTTGTGTGCCCGGCAACTACAACAGAATTGTTCCAGTGAAAGTCCAAGGCCAGCCTAGATGTATGATCCTCCCCACTGCAAGATAAGGGTGCGAGAGTGAGCATCTACCCCCCTCATCTTTGCCGGGCAAAGAAAGCGTGCGTCTTTGCCGGGCAAAGAGAGCGTCGCCGCATCGTGACGATGTGGCGACATGTGCTCACTGCGCCATCTTGCTGGTAATGCTGAAAACACAATAGTTTCCCCCGAGATGCCAGTCACCAGCGGTAAGTGGTAGAGATGAATAGCTTGCTGTTTGAACGTTGAAGGAAATGCTCCTCCCTGTCCAGTGGTCAACACCTCGCACCCACAATTTAGAGGTCCCAAGTTCGATTCTGCACCCGAGTCTTTTTCTGGATTCTTTTCTGGATTCTTTTTGTTTCTTGCATTTACCTATATAGATACGTATACATATGCCGTGAGTGACGGAAACGCCGACGACAAAATCTAGCCGAGAGAGTCCATATAATTGCTATTGCAATAAAGCAGAGAATACTGTACGATCACGTGGTAATGACGAATAAAAACACAGAATCTAAAGCACTGAAAATCGACTTACTGGGCGAAGCTGTGACCAGCAGAAAGTCACATTGCAAAACGATAGTGGCAAGTACAGTCATTTGTAGTAAGAAGACTGACTAGCAGCAAGATGCTTCAGCTTTTATGTATGCGTCACAGTACATTCTAATGTTATGACAGATGCTTGTGTGCAATCCAGAAGGTACTCAAGAAGGACGCATTGGGCATGCAATGTTTGTAAAACAGACATCATTCGCAAAGCAGAATGCAAGTTAAAGTGCCAGCTGTGCCAAGCAAAAAAGCACGTCACAAAGACAGAAAAGCTGGTGCCCATGTCATGAATGAAAGCTACTACGCATGTCACTACTTTAACCAGCTAGAAGAGGCCCCAACTAGACTGAAGTTCCAGCAGCAGTGCCTCTGCAATGAATGAAATAGTTCCACTCATGTACTCGGCAAGGTTCTCCAACAACGAAGTCACTAAATGTCCACTTTACGACATCAGTCCAGAGTGTGCGCTCATTGGTACAGGCTTGCACGTAATTGCCTTTGAGGTAGAAAGGACGCTACCTTCTAGACCTCTACCTATGTTCTTTTGCAACACAGATTGCGGTAGTTGATAGGCTATAAATGTGTGAAATTTACATAGTTTGACACCAGGGTTCCCGAGGCAAAATTGAAAGTCAATAGAACTGAGGTCGAGGTTTTGATGAAAGTCTGTCTGGTCGGAAGAATTAAAGAGACACCCACCATGAAAACATTACGAGAAAGATCAAGGCACCCGTCACAGAAGTTGAAACATCTTTTTTTTTTTGTATTCGTTTCATGGTCAGTGTTCTTGTCTTAATTCTAGTATGAGCAGAACTGTGGGAAGAAATTACTATATTTCACAGCAGTTAATTGTATTCACAATGTAAATATCCCATTATTGTACCGTCAGTGAAGTTACATTTCCTCATAAACTGAATTCTACCCACTCAAATTACATGCCATAGTTACCTGCTGACTTCGAGCATTCCCAAAAAGCTAAAAATAAATAGAAAGTTCAGCTGAAACGCCTCATGAGCCAACGTTCAAGCTAAACATGCTACTGTTGTCACCAAAGCAACCAAGTGCCGCAAAATGTTTCAACGAGAAGTGATGTCAGAAAACTAAGCAACAACAATGCTTAACTTTAGCGCAATGTTTGTGGTATCTTCCTGGCAAATACGGTTGAAACTTGATTTAGACAAGTCATGATTGCGTTCGAATACTCTCGTAACAGCGCCCGAGAACGGCACACGAAAGCTACCACGGCATTGCTTTTGTCACCGAAGCTGTGCCAGCTCGTGTGAAAAGTCCACGAGGGCATCCTCAGGCTGGCCTGGACATAGGGCTACCATGTCTGCATGACGAAAGCTAGGGAGACATTTGGAACTATGGCAGGGTACTGATATGCTAAGACACAGCAAAGGAATGCACTGTTTGTCCATGCAGGCAGCGTGAGAAAGTTATAAAGACATGATCAGTGCTATCTGCTGCACAAACCACGTACAAAAGCAGCACTGTCTGTAGCATCATCTGGCATTTAAGAGTAATACTGGCTGCAGTGCTCAATGTTTTATGCATGGGTGTGCAGTATAGCATCGCCAAAATAAAACTAGGGCCATAGATGGGGTGCCAGGATGTTACTAGTAAAAGTACTAGTACCATTGTGTGGAAAAGATAAAATGAGTGCCAAGTTATTGCGAGTTCAGTTGACAACACTGAACTCTACGAGTATCTGCTGGGGAATTAAATTTTCTTCATTAGATTATGACTTTTGTAAAGTCGAGTTTCATTAGATTGAGTTTTGACTGCTGTGCAAAGAAATGACAAAACTCCAGACATGTCTTCAAATAATGACACAGTGTCGCAAAAGGATGCAAGTCTGTCTTGAGAATTGCCATTCGTGCAGTGGACACGACAAGAGGATCTGACGAACGTACCTGCTTCCCTGTGCCGGCTGCTGCTGCTGCTGCTGCTGGGAAGGGACGTCGTTATCCCTGGCAGATGCAATGGGCTGCAGCTCTTGGATGTCCTCGTCGCATGGATTGTAGCGGAATGACATGACGGGCGTGGGCTGCGACGTCGCCTTACCACCCGTCAGCTTAGATAGGCTCAGCCGGTGCGACATGGCGACTGTTCGGCTGATGCGCCAACACTGCACACCAAGACAAGAGCACCGTCCCATTACAGCTGTAACTACCACCACCACCACCCCTGCACGACTTTCCTATACGTACTCAGTTACAATCCTGCCCTTCACCTGTGACAGACTGTTCTAGCTAGTGTCCACTCAAACCTCAAGTTCTCGTTCTCAGGTTATGTAAATACCAAGAAATAAGGTTTTGTTGTTACTACCTAAAATGTCATGTCTGGCCAAGCATCGGTGTCGGGATCACTGACGAAATTTACCAAGCCATTCATGCTTCCTGCCTGAAAACAGCAACACAAACGTGGATCTGTATGGGATGCTAAATCTTCTGAAGCACTCTATACGTCATGGTGCGAAAATGAGCGAGCCCTAATGGTCCGGGCATTCATGCAAACTCCCTGTGGGAGGGACAGCGATGGCCATGGGTTAGCGCAGCAGTGCTAGAGTGCGCGTAAGCAACATTAGCCAATGCCAGGCATAGCTGACCACTGCAGCAGTATATATGCAAATACGGTAGGTGAGGACACTACTGGTAAAATTTGAAGATATCTGACCACAGTTACCTAGAGCTAATAATTAGCATTTAGCATGAGAAAGGCAGCATAAAGACTAAAGCGAAAGAAGCAAATTGACAGGTTTAAATAGATGTCTGTCTTCTTACTCAATTACAATAATTTTCGAGGTTTCACATCCCAAAATGATGTCATTACAAGGGACATTATGATGGAGGGCTCCAAAACCTAAAAGTGCATTTAAACCTAACTACATGGGCTTCTAGCACTTCACCTCAATTGAAAAGCAGCTACCACGGCCATGTTACTTGATAAACTATTTATCGCGACATGCACAGATGCGTTGTCACACATTTACATCTCCAGTACAGCGTCGTGGAAACAGGAGATGCATGCATTTGACTGCGTGCATCCGCAAATAGTTCACTTGTTGCATGCAAGTGCACGTGTACTTGCGAGGCTTGTTCACGACCCCTGCGCTTGTAAACTCTTTTCCCAGTTTGTTTAAAGCATCCTGATAGTCTCCCATAGCAGCACTTGAGGCCTGTGGAGTGCCTTTTGAGCTGCCGCACCCAGCACTCCCTTATCTCAGTACTTACCAGTAAAAAGCGATAGCCCTGCTGTGCAATGGAATGCACGAGTGCACAACATGGTTGACTTATCTGTCAATTCATTCTTGTCGTTTGGTAATGGTGTTTTCTATTCAACTCTGAAGGAGCCTGGCAGTTCGCACAGGGATGAAGGCGTGAACTCTGAGGTATCGGCCAAGTCGCTGTCATCAGTTGTTAACTATAAAGCATTGATTGATTGTGGGGTTTAACGTCCCAAAACCACCATTTGATTATGAGAGACGCCGTAGTGGAGGGCTCCGGAAATTTTGACCACCTGGGGTTCTTTAACGTGCACCCAAATCTGAGTACACGGGCCTACAACATTTCCGCCTCCATCGGAAATGCAGCCGCCGCAGCCGGGAATCGAACCCGCGACCTGCGGGTCAGCAGCCGAGTACCTTAGCCACTAGACCACCGCGGCGGGGCAATATAAAGCAGCTTTTCTTCTTGTTAATTGGTATTCAATTCCAAAAGAGCTAGCCATTTGTGACTTGGTGAAGAAAGCAGAATGTAGAAAGAAAAATTGTAAGAAAAGTGTAGAGGCATTGTTAACACGTGCAATGAGTAGATGACGCAACTGTGTGGGTATGGCGCCACTGATTAGAGGTTCTGTAGGCGAGAAATCATACTTGTGGTGAAAGTACATCGAGAGATTGCATTTGATGTAGGTAGGATTGCCCGTAACTTCAGAAACGACTGACCCAGTTTGCAACCTGAATGAAATAAGGGGTATGAATCAGAGTACTCATTTCTTGACACAGAACAGAACGAAGTCAGAAGATGATAGCACAAAGAAAGCTATAAAGCGGATTATTTAAATATTTCAGTAATGTTTGACGAGTGAACAGGGATCAAATTTTTTTTTTACATCCCACAAAAAGCTCGGCAACTTGATATGTGGGGTTTAACGCGCCAAGACCACTATATAATTATGAGGAACGCTGTAGTGAAGCGCTCTGGAAATTTCGACCACCTTGTGTTCTACAACGTGCACCAAAAGATGAGCACACGAGCCTACAGCTTTTTTGCCTCCATCGGAAAAGCAGCCCCCATAGCTGGGATTCGATCACGTGACCTGCAGGTCAGCAGCACAGTACCTTAGCTGCTAGACTACCACGGTGGGGCTCATAACGAATGAAAAGAGCTGTGTGTAAAACATTTTTGCTATGTTACTGTTTGTATAAACGAAGCACTTATTGCCACAGTGCTTCGCACCTTTTTAGATGCCTTTAAATTTCAGTTCTGTATATGGTTTTGCCGAATGTACTTAACATTCTCATTATTCTGAAAGGCTTATGCTTTGTTCCCTCAAAAAGAAAGAAAGAAAAACAGCCAGTTTAAAATATAGCAAGGCACGCAGCTTACAAGTGTGTAGTTTTGCATGAGATCTAGACACAGCCCAATTTTACTTCAAAACAACCCATAATATATCTATACTGTTTGCTTAAGAGGTCTCGGCTAATGTCACAACATGTGCTGTTCTTATTTACTTCAAGCTACAAGCTTTAATCGCTCGAATAATTTTTCTTTTACTTCGTAAAGATTATCAATAATGTCTGCACAGACACCGTAGCCCTTAAGTATTGCGATAGGAGCCCTGCGTTACTTTTCGAAGTGATCATCGAGTGGCTTCATTACAGGACCTTATTGCCTCAGGCATAGGCAGCTCCAAATATTTTTAAAATCCATCAATTGCAAGTGCAGTTGCAAGCATTTGTTCTTGCAACTCCGCTGCAACTGTTCAGCTTAGTTGCAAGCTTTAGTTACTTTCTACTTTTGTACTCCAGGGTGCTAAAAGCTACCCTGGAGCTTCGAAGGGGAGGAAGATGGAAATGGGGAGAGAAGCAGTCAGTTTGCAAGCCCGCATGATGACCTTGAGCAGCATTTTTTTCTGAAAAACGAGCAAGGCATGTGGCGCCGTCCTGTGGTGGCGACAGTAATTTTGCAGCTCACGACGCTCAAAATAAGCACTGGCACAGTCGTTTCAGTTTATGGCATCATTTTTTGAGAAAACAGTGAGCAATTTCTAGCAGATTTTGAGAACTTATTGTATATTTCAAGCAGTGTGCTGTACTATAATGTTTGGTTCACATGTACTCTAGAGCCTCGACCAGCGATCAATAGTGTTTTTCTGGCAATGCTGGAAAAGTGTTGCAAGGCCCTTTTAATAATCATTACATTAAAATAAAATAATTGCATTTAAATAGAATCTCGAAGGAGCAATCTCCAAAATAAAAAAATTATTTAAACTTTCAAGTGTTTACTTTCAGAATGGCAACTATCCCTGCAACTTGCACAGTGGTCGGCGCAAAAAAAAAAAAGAAACAATTCTCCTTTCCGAAATGTCTAATTCATTTTAGTTAATACCGATATAAACTATCCTAAATTCATAATGCACTTAAAGATCAGAATAAGTACAGCATATAAGATATTCGTCCTTACATAGCCACTCAGATTCACAGTATTAATTATTATTATCATGAAGAGCTGCTCTGTCCAAAACATCCAGAATGTAGCTTTTATTCACGTACAGCAAATAAACGATAAAGGCAGCATGAAACAACTTTTTGTACAGCAATGTATCGCTCAGGCTATTGTTAATAACCAAATAGAGTACATAGTATCGTATTTATACAGCTGTAACCCCAGAAAGCAACTGAAATGGTGAATGGGTTGTCTACAACAGTGTTGTTATATCCATGTAAAAAGATCTTACAGATGAGTGCATACATTAAAAAAATGCCAGGTTCGCACTGAAGGCGCAGCACAGTCGCAGCAAAAGCTGGAAGAACGTCTTTTCTAGAGCTTCTTAAACACTCCTGGGGGCTACTACTACAAGTGCACTGGCATGATACCCACTACATCATAAATCAAACTTTGTGTAGCAGAAAAGCATTCACTATGTCATAATTTATCATTCTTCAGAGCACTGTGCACTGTGCTGATGACGAATTATGCTTGAGGCTTTTGTAACGGGTCGGAACATTCGACTCGCTCATTATGCCATTTGCATTGTGCGATACCTGGTTGCTGCTGGCATTTATGCGATTCCTAACCTGGCACGAAGCCTCCACAGGGTCAGTTTGCGATAGAGTTTCAAGCACCGGCGTAGCTCAGTGGTAGAATATTGGGCTGCGACACAGAGGGCCCGGGTTTGAATCCTATTTTATCCTCAGTATTTTTTTACTTAGTTTGTTTTCCTTATTTTGTGTGACAGTAGTGCAAACATTTATAGTGGCGGCGGAGAACTTTGGCACCAAAACTGGTCCTTGTTGCGATGTCGTAACAGCTTTCACTGTAAGAAATACAAAATGTTATACAATTAATAATAAAAGAAAACTATACAAGAAGTAAAGAAAAACATTACAAAAAAAGGCAATTTGATCAAAAACGCAAAAATGCTGTTTTTTGTGAATTTAGGAATCATACAGAAAATAATAACTTGAAAAAAATACAGGAAGCAGTGACTTTGAAAAATACTGAATGGATAATAATGAAGTTGTGTCCCTGAGAAGTGTTGTTTGGACTGGCTACAGTATATGAAGAAGAATGTTCCATAATACATGTGTGTACAGGAAACCAACCATTATCAATGAGGACAGACTAAACGACAATGCTCCAATGCGAGTATTTTGAATAGTTCTTAGCGCTCCAATCTGAACCATTACTCTGAAGTATAGTGTCGTGTGGTGAAATAAAAAAAATACGAAAAGGAGGAGCCGACGCTGGCGCAACTAAAGTCCGTGCCTTCGCAGCACTCGCACGCAGCTGGTCTGGAAACAAACGGATATGTGAAGCTGCGTGAACAACCTATTCGGCTGCAGTTTCATAGTCCGACATGCAAAAAGAAACAAGCTGTTTTAAAGAATCTGCACGAGCCGCC